GGCCGCCACGCCGTGATCAACGCGCAATGCATCTTGGTTGACACACATTCTTTAGTTGCATTTGTGTGCTGTTGATCAAGATCCATCTGACCAATTTTACTTCTGAGTTCGTTAACTTGCTTTTAAAATTGACAACAGAACGTGCTCAAGCATTTGGCTTTTCATCGTAAAATGCTGTTGCGTCGAAATTAGACATTAGTCTTATTTAGAACAAACTTCGATTTTTAATTCTTTATTAAGAACAATAAACACTTTTGTTTTTTTATAAAAAACTGTAAAAACAACTGAAAAAAATGCAAAAATACTGTTTTATCAAAAAATTTTTCTAAGAGTAAAATTTGGTTGTCATGATAGCATCTTGCATTTTAGTTCAGATCTTAGTTCACGTTTTATGTATTTAACACACATAGCTATAAAGTCCTTAATGGAGTCTGGACCAATAAGAAACTCAATCAAACCTACCTTTTGGTGAATCGCATGATTTGTTGTAGTTCTAAAAAGTATGAAAAATATGGATTGAGAAGGGTAGACAAAAATTTCGTAATTTGACCACGAAGTCAAGACGGTCTCTTCTAAGGTTCTTAATACCAACGTACAATAACAACCAAGTTCAAGTAAAGAACAATGGTAACTTTAATTGTTGAGAAGTTTTAGTTGAATTATAAATGCACTTTACTTTCATGTTTTTGTATACAATATAAGATGTGTTACAAATACATTAAACGTGTCAGAGAAAATAGTCTACTGCAGCTTGTTTTAAAACTGTTTTGTATTTTCAAGATTAAATTCAAACAACGATTTAATCTCCATGAATTTTGAGGTCACAGTCAAGCATTGGAAAAAGTATTACGTATCAATTAACTCAACATTAATAACAGCAAATTTTTTAGCGCATGTAAAAGATGATAAATAATGTTGTTAAGGGCGATTACCATTCCGTGCAAATTGTCGCGCGATTGACTTTAAGCACAATTCAAAAGAAAATGTATCGCAAAAACTCGATCGCGCGACAATTTTCACTAAATGGAATCAGCCTTTAGGGTTTTTCAGACGCTTTACAAATGAATGAATTTTGATGTTACAAATATTTTGTAAGAAACTTTTCTTGCATAAAAAGTTTGCTCGATTACGTGGAATGCAAATTTTGCCAAGACTTTCGATGTGATTGTCCAATTTGAGCTTGCTTCAATTAATTGATGATTGTACTGTGTAGAGTGTTTTCCTCATTGAACTAAAATACATGGAACGCTACCTAAAGCAATTAATTGAAGGCAAATCTTATACCAGACACGCAAGATTTTACCCCAGACACGCGTGTGTATTGTTTCGAGATTCTCTCGCGGAGTAATAAATGATTGACTACACACCATTGAGCTCTATAATAACTGGAGGGGAAAAGGGGCCTGGACCCCGTGGTCAAAAACATGGCGGTAATGGCGGATTTTGGTTGTCAAAACTTCCACTTTGAGAAAAATTTTTAACATTCGCTCCCTCCCGAATCCGGATCTCTATTCCTGCTTATATTAATGACAACCAGCGAAAACAACCACGATACCGTAAGCATAAAATATTGAAAATAATGCTTCAGGTTTTGTGAAATAGACACACATTTAAATGAGGTAAATCTACTGTAAAATAACGTATATTTTGTCAAGTTAATGCTTTAGCTATATTAGAAATAAATATCAAACGGCATTCTTTACACTGTCAATGTGTTGTTAAGCTTGAATGCATAATCCCATACGCATTGCTTGTGTTTTTGACTGTTTGTTAACAGCTTGGTGCAACTGTCTTTCCTGAATAGATGGGTAAATCTTAGTTAAAATATCCAAAAAGGAGTTAGAAAAAGTTAGCTTACCCCTACGACTTAAGTCGACTGGAAATATATAAGTAGGTATGTAATTTTTTTGAGTTTTTTTTTGGTAGAATTGATTCTGGGTGTCTTATAAGGTATTATGATATTCTGATAAATCTACTGAGAACTTATGAGGAAAATATCTTGAACTAGGAGAGCAAAAGAACGAAATTCAGAAATTCTATAATCATGTTGCTGGTTCTGTTTTGAGCCAAAATATTAGAAACTGGATTGTCATTGACAACCATGGATCTACTACTGCACAGAACTACATTAATTTCCCATCGAAAATACTATTTCTCAAATTAAAGTGCATTGGTTTCTTTGACATAACACTTTTCTTATTGCTGCATGAAGGCAAACCTGTTTAAATAATTATAATGTAGGTGAAGATATTTAGCATGTTGTATAATTGTTATTATACAGTCATTATTTATAATATTATGGCCTTGTGTAATGTATGTCAAGAACTTATTAATTCTCAAAAATGCTAACCTTGCACTACTTTTCTCTTGTGTCCTTACAAATTACAGTTACCTATACTAATTTTTCTAGGTTCAAACAACTTGACAAACTTTTAAATTTTACATTATGCCTTTGAATTTTTCTTTTTGTCTTTTGGTAAAAATATCAGTGAATGACTTAAAAATCAAGTTTATCTAAAATAGTATTTTGTACAAAGTAACTATACATAATTGGAAATATCTCATGTTGAAGACAGATGTCACTTCTTTTACTACATTGCTACTCTTATTCTTTTAAATGATATCGTAATTCTTCAAAAGACATAAAAAGTTCTATGCCATCAATTTTTGCTTCTTCCACATTCCACTTCATTGCAACCAATGCATCTTATGTGAATTTTTAATCACCAGGAATTGAAAAACGTATGGATTTTGTCAGATGATGCAGTACTATATTTAATGCTTCATGCATGTCATCATAAGCTTTTCTTGAGCAAATATTTCAAGGTAGGAGCAAAATTTAGCACATTATTGAACAAAGTAGTTTTTATCTTGATTTTGATGTACTAACCTGTTTACTACACTGTACAACAAACAATTCATTTACAGAAACACCAGATGGCATTTATAAAACTTTTACCATAAAGCAAACTTTTACAAACTCATCATGATTGTCCATAATCTGTCAAATTGTCCAGCCTAGCTGTTTAATACAGGTATTTTTTATTGTACGACATGTACCAAAGAGTTCATTAATTAATCCTGCACTGCATTTGATTTCAATACAGTTCTGTCCTTAATATTTGCTTCATATTTTCAGAAAAATATCATGAAAAAATCCTCCATTTCAACTCAGTTGAAACAAGGAGTTTTAAGATATGCATATCTCGGTAAGAACTGGTTGCTTTGCCTCGTCTAGCAAGCGATTAAGTAAAGAACAAATAAGACTGCATAAACATAACTTAAATTATAACTTATGAGTAAAAACATTCACAAAATATATACCATCACATTTCAAGTATTGATTTAAAACAAAACACTGAACACTTTAAATGGTAAACAATCTTACGTTGCTTACTGGTGTCATGAAATGTTTCCTTTCCTGACATTACTTCAGCATTAGTATACCAAACAAGTTTGCAGCATGTTTTAAAGATAAAATTTCTAAAAGTTTTTGTGCTTGGCATTTTATATAATCGCAATTGTGGTTGTCAAATCCGGGTGGGCGAAAAAAATTTTATTTTATGAGCCCGCGTCTTTCCGCTGACTTTGACAACCAAAATCCGCCATGTTTTAGACCACGCGGCCGCGCGCTAATAATTTATAGTAATTTTGTTGACGTTTCCCCTCCAGGTCTTATAGAACTCAATGCTACACACGCGTGTCTGGGGTAAAATCTCGAGTGTGTGGAGTAAAATAACGGCTTTAAAAAATTATTAGACTTTTGTATTACAGTTAGCATTCCATGTATTTTAGTTAAATGGTTTCCTCGGTCGCCATGTTTAGGGGAAAATTGCATATGGTGAAACAAATTTATGTTAATTTCATGTTCTGCTGAGCATCGGCACTTTGATGTACTCCCCAATATGGATACTTTGCTGCTCATTCAAACACTCCATTGAGATGGAAAGTTGAGAAGATATTGCGTGTGTTTTTGTGCAGTGAACTACCTGAACTATCTTGGTATTATTGTGTATTATGTGCATGTTTACTTTGTGAGTATTTAATTCATTTGTTCTCATTTTATTCAAATGTTCTCATTTAGAAAGTCATCTGTCAAAGAAACTCTTTCATAAACATACCTTTCTTGGCGAGGTCAAGAAAATATAATTATAGTTTTCATTTTTCTCTAAAAAGGAACAATAATTTTCGTCGTGGATACCATGCAACATTTCACACCGATCTTTATTGCCTTTCGTTCTACAGCTTTGGCCAAACCCAATTCTATAGTTAACAGATCTGCAGCAAGGTGCTTTTACACAAGATAAAATACACTCAATTTCACTTTTTGCATCGGTTTTTTTAATCATGGCTTCATTTAATCGCCAGCCTGTAATGTATGATAATGCAAGTTTAAAGTGTTGCAGGAACTGCACTTTAGGGCTCAAAAGCTTACTAATAAACAGTAACTTAAGTTTCACTCCATTAGACATATGTAACTTTGTCTTTAGCATCAATTAATAAAATATGGCAGTGACTCCAAGATATTAGATATTCGTAATACTTTTAATACAAGAATTAGATATTCGTAAAACGTTTTTTTACATGACATAGTACATATTTCATAAGGATTTCCTCTAGCGAGTTTGTTGGGCATAAATATCTCTTTCTTAACATTTAACTAGACTTGCACTACTCGTCCTACCTTTGAGAGAAGAATTAAAACAAAAATTCGATGATTGATATTGTTCGAAATTTTTCCATAATACTACCAACCAAAACCATATCTCAGCACATTTTACGTGAATATTGTTGTTACACATTCCACTATACAAAAATAAATTTTGGTTCATTAGCAAATTGTCTGACTTTGTAGCAGACTTTGTGACACAAAAGGGAAAGCACATCTGCTTATAACGTTTTGTAGTGTTAGACTTTATAAAAGTCATGCCAGCATGAATAATTTATTATTAATGCTTTAGCTAATTGTTCTTGCCTAATTATTGTAAAAAACTTTAAGCCTCTCATTTTTAACACGAATGCCTTTATATGCACCTATTCGAAAGACGAGATATATACTTTTTGACTATGTAGCTACTCGTTCATCGGAAATAGTTTGTTGAGTTTGCCTACAATAATTTGATAATTTTTGATGCTTTATTTTGCATAACCCTTGCAAGTTCCAAATAAAGAGTATGCATGTTGTAATTGATTTGCAAGCATTTCATAAAATCAGTAGTTAACATATTTATTCACTCAAAATTTCCATGCAAATAGTTTATAGTTCTATAGCTCTAAATACGAACGTAAATAGATTGTTAATTACGAAAACATTTGGTCACGCACAATTTAGAAACATTTCGTCAGTTTTATTCATATAGCTATACAACAAACAGCATGCTCACAGTCATGCCTTCTTCACTTCACATATTTTTTGGTAAATCTAATGCGATAACAAAATAATTGACGTGCGCAATGTTGCTTTTTGCATCAACAATAAAAACATATTGAAAAATTACGAGTGAGAAAATTGGCGGTAAATTGACGTTATGTATCATTTTAAATATCAAGTATATTGCAAGGTACTTCTTCCATTGTCTGGCGCAGACTAAGTAGGTTTTACTGACATGGAACGAGTGCCATGTTATTACGACAGTAACGCTACAATCGAACTCGAATCACTTTGCTGAGTCACGTGATTAAACATTTCATCGTTAATATAAGTTGCAAAATGCAAAATATGCGTGGCAGAAAAAATTAGTGGGGTAGTTCGCCCTTCTTCATATTTGAATTATTCTGTGCTTACATTGAAGAGATACTGAATTCCAACTTTGCAAGCGTAACCGCCCTGCAAATTTGGTCAAAATAATTCCAGTTCTGTAGAAATGAATGATGATATTGTCTGAAATCTTCAGCGTTATTATCCCGCACCTTTTCTGTGCGGACGACGCACAAGACATGATTTGTGGGACGACAGAGCATTATGTTGATTTTAAATTTGTTATAATGGCAAAGGAAGCGATAAATCCCTACTTAATATCTTCTTTTTATATAACAAATCTGCAAGGTGATCGTTCCACTATTTTTATTCGCACAGAATAACTCTGTCTTCATTCCAATTGCACATTTAATGCTTTTGAGGATATCATACCTAAACATAGTTATAGTGATTTGTAGAATACACTAGTCCGAATATTCTTCAAAATTACAGTCGACCAAATCCAAAAGAAATATTTGCTAATAAAATTAAATTGTACGCATGATTTTCAAATCGACGATCCCCCGGTCTTAGAAAGTGAAAGTGAGTCAATTAAGGCTTCATTAAAAAATAGAAAATACAATGCTAAAATAGTCTGCAGCTCCCAATGTTTTACAACAAATGAGTCGCAAGAGAAGTCAAGAATAATTAAAATACGCTTTGGCCAATCAAATAAATGGATATAGTCACCAGATGGTGCGAGATTTGTGCGCTTAACCGCTGCCTCCATAGACAAAAATGCTTTTCAAATTATGACTTCAGGTGAAACCGAACTGCGACTCGGACTTCGTAAAAAAATACACGTAATTACTCATCATTTTGGTGACCTTAGTATTCAAAGTGAAATAACTATTTTTTAAGAAATTATACGTGAGTTGCATGAATATTTTGAGATATCCTAGATCGTCCTGAGCTAATCCTGTATTTGACAGACCGACAACTTTTGTTTTTGCACAAGATAAAATACACTTAAATTCACTTGATGCGTCAGTGTTCTCAATGATCGCCATTCTAAAAAGTAGTTGTATGGTGATGTTGATCATGTCCAAAATATAGCAGGAATTGACTGTGCTCATTATGAAAGATAATTTTTATATATAATTACAGTACATATCCTCATTATCATGAACATCGAAAGCATGCATCAACTGCTAATTTCATAAATGAAACATCTTTTGCCAGTCTACTTCAACTTAAATAATACAAATCACTTCACCTTTTCGTATAAAAGTAATGCGATAATTTAGGGACTGACTCTGTTCTCAAACTGGTAACATTAAAAACAATAATAAAGACAGCATCTTGTCCCTTTTTGCAATGCGTGTATTGTAGATTCTGTTAAGCCACTAGCTCATCAGCAACCCATCAGACAGACCTTTGGCAGACTTTGTAAAATGTTGAATTTATTGGGCTTTTCTAAAACCTCTTAAAATGGCAGGTGCATGGTTAATAATAAAACAACAAAAAACTATAGAAACACATTTAACGACTATAAAGTAAAAATAAAACAGAGCTAAATGGGCATTCAAAGAAAATATGCGTTCAGGTTAAAAACAGGACTTCAATTCACAACTGGTTATATTGTATGAGTCGTATGATAGATTTAGACATTTATGAATGTCCACTATAATTATTGTTTGTTACAGTTGTTATCTAAATTTACAATGAATGAATAATGTAACTGTTTTTAATGCAAATGAACTTATAAAACAGTTACTCGAAAAACTGCCACCAATTCAAGTAAGACGTTCATTTTTTCATTATGTAAGATTTTGCATTTTCCATATTTTTTAAATTTACTGCTGCATTGTTGCCTGTAAACCATTAACAGTTTTGCGCATATGTAGACGTCGGAGACCTATTTTTTGAGCTAAATATGAAAACAGCGCAAACAAACTTTTTATTTAGCTAAATACACATTAAATATATAAAAAATTCCTTTCCCATATTTTACGTTTGTGTCAGGACTTTGGACGACCATAATTTGAAAATGTTCACACAACAGTGACAACATAACAACATCATTAGCACACTTATGTGAATGTTTCCTACTAAAACAGTTTTTCATCAACATAATATCACATCGACACTACGCAGACATTGTAAAATGCTGTAAACATTGAGCAATTCAGCTAAATGCACTCTTAAAAAAACAGGTGGTCAAATATTCAATAACAAAAAAAACTCTGGAACAATTTCAAGGGATTTAAATTTAGAAAAGAATTAGAGCAGAATAGAGTTTAAAGAAAAAATATAAGTCTTAAAACAAATACAGTCACAAATGCACAATTATTGCATTGTTTCACTGTCAGACTTTTTGGATTTTGAAAGTAAATAAGGAACATACCTTGTAGCTAATGTTCTACAGATAGTTTAGTCTTGTCTTGAATTAAGAATATTACAAAAACTGCATCTATCAATTTTAAGACAAGCGTCTTTAAAAATACTCACAAGATTAAATTGCAGCCATTTGAAAGATAATAGTTTCTGTTTTTAACGAAGTACACGCGGCTATTGGCAACTGGTTATTGACTGGGCTTACGATATTTTCATAATTTTATCAAATGTAGTATAACTACTTTGCATAACCAATTTTCAATGCAAATAGCATGTGGCTAATATGAATTAAACAGATCTTGACCATGTTATTCTATAGTGTATCGTACGTTCTTTATCGAATTTCTTATCGCTACAGCTATAGGTCGAACGCAAGAAATTTAACGTTTTAACCAGATGTTTCCAAACTGCACATTTGAACAAAGGCGTCGTAAGACTGATTTTATTAGGGGGAAAGCATATCATTTGCGCCATAACGTATAATCAATATTGATTTCAATGGCAAAATGCTGTTCAATAGCTATAAACGATAAAATTATGAAAAAAAGTTGAAAAAATACTTTAAGAGAAGTTTAAAAAGATTACTTTTATGTATTAGACTTTAGAAACGTAAGCCATTTAAGTTACATTTTGAGTAAAAGAATTCTTTATTTTAGGAAATACTTTCAAATGATTATAACAGTGAGTAGCACAGCATTCATAGATTACATGTTCTTTCTCAAGGGCGAATCTAGGGTTAGTCAAAAGGTATTACTGCTGCACATTTTTGGAATATATTTCAATTTCTAAGCCCCTCGGAGACAAGTCCATTGGTGAAATTATATTTTTTAGAAGTTCAAAACCAAAGTGCTTTTTTGAAAGTACTTTTAATTTAAATCGACATTAAATCGAAATCAATTGGCAAAATTTTTTTAATAAAACGTCAATTCACGTCAAATATAACGCCCTATAGTAAACATTTTGTTAACCTCTCCCTCCTGGTTCTGTCTGTCCAAAACCACTTTGATTCGACGTTTCTCGCTAAATACCTCGCGTTTTGTTGATAAGGGCTTTTTAATGAGCTTTATGAAATATCATGAATTTGATACTTATTTACGCATAGCTAGCAGTCCTTCTTTTCCTGCCCACGAAATTAAAAAATATCCAAATAAAACGTTGAGCTAAGTGTTAGCTACTTTTTACAGTTCAGGAATGCCCTATCTCAAGCATTAATTTTTAATACTTTTACAAGATATAATTTCAACAGGTTCCTCCTTATTATATTTATCTGAAGCAAATTATAAAGTTTTTATGTGTTCCCTAGCAACAAAACTAGTTTGTATTTTTCATTCTCTTACATTTCCGGAGCAACAAAACGAATAAAATTGCATTGTTTTTCCATAATAGACAGCTTCTTAAGGTAATGGTGGATGACTTTTGTCATTTAAATTACAGCATAGTGAATATACAGTAGAGCCACTATATTGAATTTTTCGTGCCACGCATATCTTTTTACGCATGGGATTACCATAGTGGCAACCAGTCAATTGCTTTTTGACCAATAGAAATGATAAAATAGCTTACGGCAGCCAGTAATCTCATTAAATATACAGCAGCCAATTGCACACGAAGAGGACCTACTGTATATCCCTATACTGCATGTGATTTAAACATTGTAAAAACTACCCATTTAATTTTGCCGTAGGAAAGTAATGTGACGTAAAATCATCAGTGAAGTAGTAGCCTTATTGCTGGAATGCCAGTTCTTTTAAAGTTGGGTATTCAGTGCGCAGATTGAAAAATATAGAAGAACTTTTTCTATGTACAACTCGATGCTGTAGTGATGTATATGTTATTAAATTATACTGGCTGCAGTTAAAATCATTTCATCGCTTAGTATAAAAGACAATTAACTGGCTCTATTATATCAACATGCGCAATAAGATCTGTTCTAGATCTATAATGACTATATCTATCTAGATTAATTGCTCTTCTGTATGTTCCTTGTTAAGTGATAAAACTGAGGAGTTTTTCTACAAGGACAAACATACACCGCAGCGATCTTCGTAATCATTGGTACTAGTAGTTTTATAGGCCACACAAGACAAGGTTTGTTAACATGAAACTATGCATTACGGTGTTAAGCTAGCACAATATTGTTGTATTCTCAACAGTTCAAAGGAGAGTTGTGTTAGATATTTTTGGCATCCCCTGTATATTTTGGATCAATGCGCACATTTATCATTTGTTGAAAACAGAATAAAGACAGGAAAAAGCTATTCTTTTCAAATCGGCGTCATTTCCTTTAGGAACTGAAAAATCTCCAAACTAGACTTCTGAAAATGATGCATGACGTTTTAATGTTGAGCCATTTCAAACGAACTTTAACTTCAGTGACGAACAGCTTTTAGGAAAAAGCCTTTCTTAGTTTCTTGCCAAAGTACTACTTTTTTGTCACTCATACCGTGGAAGAAGCACAATGCACGCACAGAGGTCTCTGGCTACACGTGCTTTCATCAGCATTGATGCATATAAATATGTATATGCAATGCAAAGGTCAATCGAAATGTGATATTTTGCAGAACAAATTGACCAAGTTCAGCATGCATTTGTACTTAAATTTTAACCCGAAATCGAGGTTTATTTCATAAAAAGCGACGGAATAACACAGCAGTCGATCAATGATGGTAAGATCTTCTAAAAAATCTAATGTTTCCTCGATCTTACTATGTAATTTAGTTTTACTTTACAACACACTGGGCGGCTGTCCTGTTATGTTGAGGCTGTGAGGGTATTTCGAATTGTTTACAATAAACTTTGTGAAGTAAGTATACATCGAAAGCCTTTTGCTTCGACCATAATGTTTACACCGTGCCAGATTACTTGTTCAGCCACTGAAGAGTTTAATCGTAAATCAAGTTACGACTTTCTATATCGCTATAATACAGACAGTATCGAAGCAGAGTCGCACCATTCTGCTTGTATTTTTGTGTATAACAGCTCGTCTTTCACTTTAGACAGTTAGACTACAACCTGTGTTATTAAAACATAATGTTAGAATTGATCTTGTCAAAGATTATGGCGGTTTTGTCAAACACTTTCAAGTAGCGATTGTCTCTAAGTAAGATTGTCGGTGAGCAAAATAAGCATTTCAATTCATTACGTTGGCCGTATGGTCGAACTCCTCTTAAACGCCGATTCTTCATTCTTGTAGTTGATTAAATATTATATAAATTAAAACTTTAGCAATAGCTGTTAGTCTTGGTGTTGCACAAGCGAAGGACGACATTGTTTGCTCGAAATGTTCATAACCAATGAATGTATTTCAATCAATTCAATGTGTTTATAATGCTAAGAAATACTAAGACCGGATCCATAGAGTATCGTGCATTGAGGGCGGGGCATAGCATATATTTAAAGTCCATTTTCAACTGTCTTAGCGGCTGAAATAAAGAAGTTTTTTTGATGAAACTATAGGACTACAGGGATACTTTACATGATAATAATAATTATTTCTTGGAGTCAAGTGCCTCTGGAGATGACTGCCGCTAAGGTTGTCGAAACGTCAGTCAACATCAACACCAACAGTCCTCTACTAACCTGGATGATCTACATCTACGTACATTATAATTATTCATATCAACCGACGGATGTAGAAATAGGGATTATACTTCTATGTAGCTGCTTATATGGCCTTGCTAATCTTATATTATTCATTTCAATGGACGTGTAGAGGAAAAAAATGTCGTTCCCCCGGGGTTGCTGCACCTTCGCTTTCCTTCGATTTTCTTGTTTTCAAATCTAAATATGGCTGATTAATTTTTTCTTTTCTAACAGCTGCTGATTTTCATTCAAGTTGCATTGGTGGTAATTTCTATCTCGTGTCTTATATTTTGCACATGGAGGTAATTACGAATGGAAGAATTATTTCAGGGATGTAAGCAGAGTGTTCGACCGCTCGTTTCTTACTTACATGAATCTGTTAAGCATTTTATGGTGTCTTGCGACAAAAAATGAATAAATTGTGTTGCATGTTTAATTTTTACACCTTTTTCAGGCTTATATTTTCCTTCAGCAATTCCACTTTTTTTTGACCAATTTCTGAACAATCATTAACCGCCATGCAGCCTTGTAGAAAAAATTTTATTAGTAGTTAATCAAATTTTTGAAAGTGAAAATCAATTTTTTAATTGTTTTTGACATTGTTCTTAATTCATTCTGACCCAAGTTAGACATACATTGATACAGTGGCGGATTACTAACTATGGGGCCTGCAGTGTGGGTTAAGACAAAGTTGCGGGCCTTTTGTGATATCTTTTCCCCCAAAACTTCAGTCTCTTGCGAAGTTTGCGTTCCTCACGCTCGTTTACATACAGTACAATATGAATTTAAAGTTCAAACTGGGAAAAGCCACTACTCCATTATTTCTGAGCATCGCGCACTTAAACAGTAGAATGTACGGTTTTTAACAGCATAAATGCTCTAAATCAAGCCCATTTAGTAAAAACTAATTGATGTCAGACCCTCAAATCATGTTTTGGAAAATAACCTGTGTTCAACTGTAATATGGGTGTGCTATGCTTTTAAAATCAACTTTCTTACTTTTACAATAAACTTAATTGGTCATAAATATTCAGTTGTAGACGGAAGTATGGTTATTCCAAAATACCCGACGAAGAAAATGTTTCAGACAAGTTGACAAGGGATAGAAAATTCCAAAGACTGGCTTTGAAAGGTCTTAAAATTTTGCATAATCTAAACGCGTTTAATACCCCGCCAATATTTTAATTATTTTGAAGTGACAAAAGTTTGGTTTAAATATCCAATTCGAAGAAATATTGTTTATAGAAATGGCTGATGGTTATATTTATATTTATCGGTTGACATGACATGTTCACCTGAGTTTTTTTTTGTCTTGGACAATGTTCTGTAGACATTGATGCAATGTAGCTAGCCATATGTTGCAAATTGTTTGTAAATAATGTCGTGTTTTACAGTCATTTTCCACTACACTATTGTCAACTACTTTCGTTTCTCTGTTTCCCACCTCCGCGTAAACGGCCTTCTGAATATTTTTCGGTTTTTTTTTCGCAAGCTCTCTCTGTGCCACCACCAATGTTTGATCTGCTTGTTTTCTGTCCCGGTCTTCCACGATTGATTCTTTCTGGTCAAACCTTCTTAATAGAGAGTTTTAGTTTGGTGTTAATTGCAAACCGCAAAAAATCACGTGATTATGGCTTTGCGGTGTACGGTTCAGGTTTAAACGGCAAGGGGCTCTTCTTGCGGAAGGTTATGAACGGCAAGTATTTTAGTACTTTTGATACAACCAAGTGACGTTTATGTGTCAAATGTATATTTTATGTGAGTATACAACGTGACTATGCCTTTTTATTAACATACTTTTAACAAAACATGAAATTTACCATGGGAAAATGCCAATTGTAAAATACAAATGCAAAACGCCATGCTAAATTCAAATTTTTTGAAGCGGCAAACTTCATCGGCAGGCGGGTAGCTGAAATTTGTCGTTTGCCGTGAACGCCAAACCAAAGCTCTCTAATGATCAACCACTGCATTCAGTCGCGTAAACATTGATTTTTTTCCATTTCAGAGGCTCTTTGTCAGTTTTTCTTAAACATGTCTCGAAAATATACATTTGTAGAACAATTGGACGACATCGGTAAGGATTAACTTGTGCTTGAAAAAACTGAATCATAAATGATTTTCACAGTGTGTATATTGAGCACATGCAGCTAGACTTGTTGCATAAATTTGTTATGTTTGCATGCTACTTGTTGTATAACGAGAATTTTGTTCAGTCTAGACACAATCTTGTACCTGACTAAAGCTATGATTAAGAAAATCATGCATGCTGGAGCTCAGAAAATGAGAAATTTTGTTTTTAATGTCATTGATTAAGAGGTTTTATCTTTTGCAACAATGAAAGTTATGCCTGCATATGTATGACCGAAGAATAAAGATTTATCACAAGTCAGTTTCATTGATCAAACTGTTCTCCTCATTTCTTTGGTTTTACCTTATATATAATGTCAAAAGCATACAATGGCAACAGCCTTTAAGGCGAAAGTTCATGTGCTTTGTCCTTGACTCAAGCCAAACTATAAGTTGCTGCACAACTATTTCCGCATTGCAAGGGCATTAAATGAAATCCTGATCCTAACTTTGTCAATGCAAGTGATATTTGTAACACAAGGTAGGACCTTTGCATCTACGGAGGGAAAATGTTTTCGTTTTCTTCTGCGGAGGGAAAATGTTTTCGTCCGTTTGTAAAAACTCAACAAAGTTGTATATCCTTGCTACCACAATTACTACAGTGTAGTATGATATTTTATATAATAACGAAAAGACTTTGAGCAATTTCATTGATCGAGAGCTATGATCTATAAGAGGACATATGCACGGAATTGACGTCACTGAAAATTTCATGTTTATAAAAACAAACAAATGGCGGACATACTTGAAAATTTATTGCAATACCTCCCTGACTGGGAAAATAAAGATATTCACAAAGACCTAGTTGAAGCAGTGGTCGTATTTGAGCAAAAAGAATAGAAAAATCCCAGTTTTCAAATATCAATTTGTACTTCGTCTTCGATAACAAAATTTCAACAAAATTGATCAGCCATTGCTTGTTTATTTTGTTAGCCAATCACATTTCATCACGTGATTAAGCTAGCCAATAGCATTTCATCAATCCTATAGATCACGTCAGCGTGATATTTGCAACATCAAGACTTTTCAATTTTCCAAGTGTTGGTAGGCAAAGAAAACAAACTGCTTGACCGTTTTAATTTGGGAATTTTTTGATTTTATTATATAAAACAAATAGATCACATTTAACCGTTGTCTATACAGTTATAGATACACGGGTATGACGTCAATTGCGATAAAACTCGCCCCGGCGGCTCGTGGTCACTTTTTTAGTTGTTAACGTCATATTGACGTGATTGACGTCATACCCGTGTATCTATAACTGTATAGACAACGGTTAAATGTTATCTACTTGTTAAATATCATATGCACCCAATTGAATCAGATACCAATTTGACAAATGACTGGCCGGAGCGATCAATGCTAGGTAGACGAGCATAAGATTTTTAAAGCTTCTGATAATAATCAAAATTTCTGTAGAAATTTATCATTTAAAATGGAGAGTACGAAACGTTGTTTTAATGTGTTATGAATTTGAATTGTTCCTTAAATTTTATCCGTGAAACTCTAGGATGTTTTATTTAACTTTTATTATAGCGTTGTTTTTCTGATTCAACAAGGTTGTCGACTCGGAAGAAGCTGGTTCATCGTCAAAGAAGTAAAATCCGAAAAGAAACTCTTGATTCTGACTAAGAAAAGTTCGGACTGTTTTCTGTCACTCACTCCGTCCACCATCCAGTTGCTTAGAGATCTGTTTGAGCCCCTAAGTAAAGTATGTTTTTCGTAGACATTAATAGACACGAGTTTTACCCTATATTTGATGTTTACTGCTGAAATACTTATTTATATTTCAGCACCCTTACATTTACGCAATCAATGATATTGATGTATTGGCACAAAAACCGTTTGTCTTTGTCGTTGAACCCTTTAATTCAAAAGGAACATTAAAAGATTTGATTTATAAGGTATGGCATGCCATGACTCATAACATTGTTATTGCTAACCTGGAAAATGTGTTAGCCATATGGCCTGTTGGTTGCAGTGTTAATGTAATATCATGGTACTAAGACGTGTAGTGACTCAATTGCATGTTGTCCAGTTTTTTCCACATATTTTGTACACCTACGAGGCTACGGGCAAAAAGTGACTAGACTGCTTACTTGTTCAAAGTGTTTATATGTCACGTTCATTATATTTTAAATCATTGCACGAACATGTGAGTATGCGCAGAGCAGGCACGTAGCCAAAACGATATTTGGGGGGGGCATATTGATATATTTATTTTATGATCCGTAAAAAAACAAAAGAAACTAATACGGCGTGTCATGCATATATGAATATGTCCCCCCCCTTATTATCGTTCAGGTTACGTGCCTTGCACAGAGGTGACCAGATTAATGACCATTTATTGAAAAAAACTTACTTATATACACTGGTTAACCTAATAACCTCCCTCCCTAACTTTTTTGATTTTTATTGGTGCTCATTCATCTTCAGCGAAAACCACGCGAAGTTTGGGTGGGTAAATATCGTACGCAAGGCAAAGCTTTGAGTGTTGTGGAAATTAAGACTTATGGACAACAGATATTAAAGGTAATTTTTTTAAAAAGTTTTGTGTTTCACTTGGTTAATATCTAGGGGCCGGTTGCACGAATTGCAGATAGTGTTATCCATAATAAAGCTATTTTTTCAAAAGTTGCAAACAATTAAAAAAATTTCTATTTGTTATTCGAAATTAATGAAGTATTTCATTAAGAATGCAAAGTCTCATTTTGTAAAGATCGAAAACATCGCAATCTTTTTTAAACGCTTAATCATGTCACGATTCAAAGGATAACGCTAAATACTCCATGTGCAACCAGTAAATAGCAAAGGATTAGGATGATTTAGCAAAAAGAATACATCAGCAAAAATGCATCGAGTAAAGAGTTCCGTCTTCTATACAAATATATTAATACGCTAAATTGATCCAAATCCTAACCACTCGTACTATAGTGATAGATTATGTCCGGCATATTATTCTACAATGCGCAAATCTAGCATTTTATAACACAGAATTATTACTAACAATCAGTCCCAAGAAAACTTTGCATTGTTTACACAAATCCTTTAAGGAATGTCAACTGTGAAAAAAACGTGAGATGATACTTTAAAATTTAATGTTTTCCAACAGCACTGCACATTGGGAAAATACTTATCAGCCTTCTCATTATTTATCGCATATTACCCTGACCAGCGTATTTAATGTGGTACAACTAACGATAAATTTAGCGGAGCCATCTTTAATTGCGATATTATCATTTAGAACAATCAACAATCGATGTTTTATAGGCGATGCTTTTCTTGCATAGCAAAGGCATACCAACGAACGGACACGTACACTGCGGAAACATATTTGTCAAGAAAGGCGTGTGCAGGTAGCTAAATTCATTTTGCTATTATTTAGTCGATGTTTCGAGGAGATTTTTTATCGACACGCTCAGCTATTAACGATTTCTTCACATGTTAAATTGTTTACTGTCTCCAGGATATCGGGATATGAGCAAGCCATTTTGGGCTTTAAGTCTCGCCTCCAACCAAGACTGTCGAAATTGCTAAAGAAAAACAAATATGCCATCGATACATTGTGTTTTGGTTAGTATTATTATACTAATATAAGTTTCTGATGCAAAGTTTCTTACCCAAATTAACTTTGAATAATGTGTGCATGGCAATTCCGAATAGTTAAGCTTACACAATTGTTTTTATAAATCAATAGGAACTAGTAAATATGTTGTCTAATTTCTATTTCCTTTATAAAAAACCATATCAAAATGATTAATTTATCAATTCTATTTCAATGACATATTGTTCTTTAAAAATGTGCTGCGAAAACCACGCAGCCAGCGACACTTTCACGACACTAAAAATTCCATAGAGTTGAAAATACTTGGGTTTTTCCAGCATTCAACCAATCAATTCAACCAATCAGTGTTGTGTTTTTAAAAGAGTATTTTATAAAGGCTTCTCCAAATCACGTGGTCTGATGTTTTATGAATTCTCATATTATATTTCTTTAAATGAGAAGACGACCCCTCGTTATCAAGGTCATTCTTTGAAGTGAATTATAAAAACGAGAGATGATTAAAATTTTAAATTCAATGAAACAAAAATTGTGAATCCGAAGAGAATGACTAATAGCTGTTTTGTTTATTTCAATGATTATAGGCCATCTTTTGTTTGAAATGTCCTACGGTCAAGAATTATTTGACGCCAAACCAGGCAAACTACATTTTGAGTATTGCTCAAGAAGTGAAGAAGTTGGCGAGGTGATTATCTTTGTTATCTTTCCTTTTCGTTTCAGGAAGTGTAAAGCAGTAAAGCTCTGTATAAATATTCAAAGTCAGCTTGAACTGCACAAATGATATGTTGTTCAAATTGTACGTAGTTTCATTTTTGCTCCAATAGAGTCACTGCGTCAAAGAAGATTGCTCCAATCTTAACAGCACTCGAGTGTTCTTCACAAATCTATAGTAGTTTCCAGACTGGACTAGTTTGCCCAAGATTCCACATAGTTCTATACTAGATTCTACACATTGCTTTCTACCAAATTCGACAGTTTGATTTTAACTAGATGGTACTTCATTAATTTGTTTTTGTGTATGAACTTTCAGATATTGAAGTTCGTGTTTGGTAATAACGATTCAAGTTATCCTGATTTAAATGAAGTAAGTGAATAAATGTGCAAATGTTTTCGTAAATGCTTGACAGGTATAAATTTTGTTGCCACGGTATATTATGATTAGTTTGAGAAAATAGTAAAATGACGTGTTCCGTTCACCTTTAGTGTCTTGTCCGTCAAAGTTGCCGGAATTTTCAACAATAACCCAATGAGTCTGTCATGCATTAGTCTCAAACTGCCTGGTGTTGAAAGCTGAGATAACCATTTAATAATCAATTTTATTATTTAGATATTAGCCCACCGCTTTTTCCAAGGTTACACTACTTTAGATCCTATTGATTCTGATTCGGTAGGTATTCAAGAACCACTTTAAAATGTAACAGATCAGAAAAGTGGATAAGAATCGTCTTCACTACAAGATCTTGATATTTTAGGCAATTTAATTCATGTTGTCATTGACAATTAATTTTGTTGTTTCTCAAGAAAAAAATGCTCGTCTTTAAACACGAGTCACAGTTGACTTCTGAATTCTGATGTTTATTGTCAGATGGCTTATAATAAAACTGCAGGGTTCATTAATTTCAGTTTTGTTTCTTATAATAAAGCTAACTGATATGCAACACAATATATGCTTGTCCATGCCGTTTTAATTTGTCGTTGGAAATGTTTTTTGCAGATTTTTTTCAAGCCTCAAGTTACTCGTAGTATCCTTAAACCCTTCAAGAAATATTTTAAGAAGATGAAAAGGTATTTGATTTTTTGACGTGGTAGATTGACAATGTGACATTTTGTTCATGCAAACGTGCACATTTGCTTGTTTCTGCTGCAACTAATGCGTGTTTTTTACGATTTCCACAGGAAGTCTATAAAAGACAGAAGTGAAGAAGGAAAAGAGGCTGTAGAATCACCGGAGCTAATGAAAAAGTAAGTTGTTGAAATAAATCCAGTGCTGATTACCAGTGCTGTAGAACTAAATTTATCAGATAGGGGGCTCTCTTGACGAAGCTGAAGCCATGAAATTATGAAAAATTACCTATTTCAAAGGTAGAAGGGGGCCTTCTCCCCCAAGCGCTGTCCCCCCACTTCTACAGCACTGCTGATTACAATGCTTTTTTAACAGGTAGTTTTATTTTCCAACAGCAATTTGGTCAAGTTGAAAAATGCTCGTCCATTTTCCAGCATTTTTAAGCATTACACAAAACGATTCCTCTTTAGATTGTTTTAATACAAAATAAAGCACATTCCGAGGAGGGACATCTCGTTTTCTTGATATTCAAGATATTACAAGAGTTTGAAACAAAATAATGTGTAATACTTCGTCTTTATTCCAAAGACATCATCAGACTTTTGATAAGTCTGATGATGTCTTTGGAATAAAGACGAAATATTACACATTATTTTGTTTCAAACTCTTGTAATATCTTGAATATCAAGAAAACGAGATGTCCCTCTTTGGAATGTGCTTTATTTTGTATTATTTGAAATTGTCTGCTTGTCCTGGTTATTAGATTGTTTTGAGAATGATAACGTGGTTTTTATTTCATTGATTTCAGGTCTCATGTAACGTATGACCCTGAAGAGGAAAAGATATCAAATCCTATTTTACTCAAACGCCCTGTCGAAATAGTCGTGACGTCACCAGAACATTCTTTAAGCGACGAGGCATCTCTAGATTTATCTAAAGCTGTTAAATATGATGTTTCTTCACAGGAGTTAGAATACGACCCGTCAATGGATACGGAAAGCCGTCCTTCGGACGCTATGAAGCATGATTCGTCAGGTGATCAACGCAAGCGGTCGCTCTTTGGTGTAGAAGCCTTGATGGATTCAATCAAACAAGCCATTCAACAACGTCATGATGTCCTGGAGCAATCCGAAGATGAAGCTAACTCGCGTCGCTCGTCGTTTTCATCTACGTCATCGGATACCCATACATCCCCACTTACCTCTGAGTCGCAGAATTTGTCAACCTCTAAAAACCTCCCCGATAAGCCATCTCTTTCCAAGAAACCTTTCATTACCAAGTCTGATTCTTTGCCTCAACAAAAAACACTTCCAAGTCATCCTAAGACGACGCCTTCTATGCCCAAAGCGCCTCCGGTCTCATCGATTCTACACAGAAATGACGGCAACCAAGGAAACAAAAGTGAGAGGCAGAACCTGCTCAAGTCCATTATTGAAGGTAGGACATTGCGCAGGACAGTTACAAATGATAGAAGTGCACCGCGTGTGTAAGGACAGTTTTTGAAGAATTCTAACCTAGTAACTGATAATGTAAAGTTTTATTGGTGACATGTAATAGCCTTTCGAATTTGGTATGTCTAAGGATTCTCATTGCGTCATGCGTCACCTTCGCCTTTGATATGAAAAATGTTAACGGTCGTGGTGGAACACAACTCCATAACGGAAAAATTACAAAATTGTTCATTGTAAGCAATTGATCCAATAGCGTACGACCAGACTTTTCCGGTTAGTATAGTGAAACTTGATTACGAGGGGCTTCTCTAGGTGAATTGCTAAGTCTTTAGAGAACGTCACTAGTGACTTTGATATCATTGTTTTCAACGAGAACGATTTTCTAAAGTATTTCTTACTGTCAAAATCAACACCGATTTCTAAAAACTACTTTAATTCATAGAAGTGTCCATGAAACAATCTTGTAAACTAGTGTTGGGAGAATTGCCATTCAGCTGATATCATTCAAAGGTTTCTAATGAAGGGATAGCTTTAAAAAATGCCTATGGGTATCTGAGTACTGTTGAAAAGCATGTTTCAAACAAGAGCACGTGTTCAACAAAATATCTATTCTATTCCCCAGTAGATGTTTCAAACATGACAGTAAATAATTCACAAAGGATTCACAAAGTCGAATTTCAAAGATTTATTTATAAACACATTGATAATGGCTTCAATGTTGGGCCTTTCTTTGAGCAGCAATTACACCTTGCATTTCTTCGCGTTTTCTTTTGGCTCGACGATGCGTTCCGAGCTAAATAAAGGCGAGTTTTAGGAAAGGAAACAGAATTACTAGCAGGAACAAAGACTTAGACACAGAAGATTGCTATTGCAGCAAACTGTTCAAAAAGATTCAAGATAATGAAAACTTCAATTTAGGACCTTGGTGACTGTGTCCGTTTACAGTCGCGGCAATAGACGCGTTCCGAAAATATTTCATCAACACATTAGCTCACTTTTATCAATAGATTTAAAGAGTTCCTCAACGAAACTCTTTGAAAAACTCCTAAATTTTGGTTATTCCTATTTTGAATTGACCAATCATACCATGCGTTTTTTTAAATTAACCAATCACGTCAAGGCTTTGTGAATCACTCCGTAACTGAAAGAAATTTGATTGAATTTTCCCCCAGTATAAATGACTTTTAAATGCTGAAATTTCTTAAAATGTACAAGCTTTTGACAAACTTGTGAATTGGCAATCACCAGAAGCTATGTTTACTGGGAATTAATCGTGATTCTATTTATAGCGCTGACTATTATTTTGACGGCTGTCAACAATAAAATCTTTGTGATCATCATAATATTTGTTTAGCCATTTCAGTCAGCTCCGATGACCTTAATTCCACCTTAAGTTTTTACTTCTGGTAGTTGCAATTTCCCAATTTTCAAAGAATATCTTTCCTTTTAAAAAATAGCAACAATTTTACTGAATTTAACCCGATGCCTGAATTCATTCAGTTACAAAGTGATTCACAAAGCTTTGTTGTGACTAGTTGGTTTAAAAATTGCACATTATATGATTGGTCAATTCAAAACATGAAGCTAGAAGTTTTTCAACGAATTTTGTTGAGGAACTCTTTAAATCAATTGATAAAAGTAAGCTAATGTGCTGATGAAATATTTTTGGAATGCTTTTATTGCCGTGACTGTAATAGAGGCGACTGCTTAATTAAGGTAATTTCAATAGTATTTCTATTATTAAATTTTTGGGATATTGCCTGGTGACCACACAAGGATTACTGCTACATACAGTGCCACTAAGCACAGGTTCAACTGTGTTATGAAGACATCAGTCAGATTACATTGTGATTTGTAATCTTTTCGTGAACTATGAAACCCTTAACAGCAAATGCTTGTTTTTAATAATTGCAAATAATTTTTTTAGAAAATGTTTATCTTCAAAGTTTGCTACTAGAAAGTTAAATACTTTATACAGGCATGAACGCCACAGCAGATAACTTTTGAAAGCAGCCGGGTAGCCAGCAGGCAAAAATTGGTAGTGCTTTGTAAATTTCAGATCATAATCATTATTCACTTCTTTAGAAATCTATTGTGTTTACAGTGAGTAAACACTGAAAAATTTACACAGCACAACCAAACTTGAAAGATTTCTAGCTCCTTGGCTTGGTCACTCACCCTTTTCTTTACAAACTTCAGCGCTTTTTTATCTTTTCCAATACGCAACATTTCCATGCAACGCCTTTCATAAGGAGCATAACCGTAACTTCTCGGATCAAGTCTCGGATCAGTTTGACTCGTTTGTTGCAAACCTACCAAAACATTTAAAGAAACTATGGGTTTACTCTTCTTTACTTTCAAATGGGAACATAAGTTACTTTGGCTGTCAAGAAAAATTGGTGGAAACCACATGAGTCATACTGCTTACACCTTTAGTCATCATTATGCGGAGGTAGTGAAAAGAACTGAATTGTCAATATGCATTCATAGTTGCAGTGGTAGCTAGGTAAAAACTAAATGGTACTAAAACTTTTCACATAACAATTTCATTTTCAGTATTACTTACACCCTTTTGTCTAGACGGCTTAACTTTACTAGTTGCATTCTTCGTGACCTTGTGTCCTTTCTTGAGGCCAACGGCCATCTCCAAGTTTGGAGAAGACATAGTTTTGATTTATTTTGCGACTAAATTCATTTAAGGAAAACAAACATATAAACATTAGCAAGAAACAAATCAAACAATTATACATAGAATGCAAACGGGGCAATAAGGACTAGATCTTTCATGAGCACCGGCTGCACAGCAAAGTCATTAGTAAGCTGGGGTGAAACTTATATTTGATTTCACAGTAGAAAGTGCATACAAAGCAATAAATTCAGATATTGGTATATATATCAATTTAACACAGATTTCTCCAACTACACAATATAAACAAATCAAATCAGATTGACCAAATGATATGCATTGTCCAAATACGATCAGTACTGAGTATCTAATTATTCGTTGGGTTACCCAGCCACAAGCATAAACACGAAAAAACAATGCCGCGGCTGTGTAAAGAAAAATAACAATTAAAGGATTGATTTCGAAATTGACGTCGGCGAATTTAGCGAGCTTTTTGTCGAAAAAAAGGCCTAATTCATCACTTGATAAAATCTTCGACTGAGTAATTTGGCATGACATAAAACTAGTAGTTCAAACACCAATGAAACACAAAGATTGATGAGATAATAATGGATTCATTACCTATTTTATAAACTTGGATGAAATTTGAAAATGGCCACTTTGGAAGAGAAAGCACGCTTGCAAAGGAGCATGGTATAAATCTAGAACAGGGGGGAGTGGGAAAATTCTGAGAGTAGTTGTTACTGCGCAAGTGCAGCAAATGCCACGAAAGCAAAACATTTGACAATATGGATGAGGAAATGTTCCAAAATGTTTTGAATAAAGCTTCGAAATATCCGAAGCCGGATGTCAAATATACGTATGGCACGGCTGGCTTTCGTCTCAAAGCAGAGCTTCTTCCCTCTGTGATGTATCGCATGGGATTACTTGCTGTCCTAAGATCTCGCGCTTGCGGGAACCAAACTATAGGTCTCATGGTGACTGCTTCGCACAATGCGGTTCAAGACAACGGCGTGAAACTGATTGATCCAATGGGAGAGATGCTTGAAGCCGCTTGGGAGAATCATGCCACGGAGTTAGCCAATAGTGAAGATATTGGGCAATGCTTGCGTGATCTCACCAAACGTGTTAAATCTACTTGTCAAGATTGGAGCAATGATGGGAACATCGTGCTTGCCAGGGATACCAGACCCTCAGGCGTCGAGCTTGTCCAATCAGCGCTTGATGCAGCCAAGGCCTTCCGCGGGAAGTTTAAAGACTTAGGTATGCTAATATTAATCTGAAAAAGTTTTGTTGATATTCAAATGGTAAGCTGGTAGTTTTGAAGTTTACTGTGATTATATTTAATTTTGTGTAATTATACATTAGTGGCCAACCCAGCAGGATTATCTTGTTGGGGAAATATTTTTGTACCCAAGGTATTGTTACTGAATACCCTACACAACTCCCCCTCCTATTATTGAGTTTGCTTATGCCACTGAACCTGAGAATGAATCTGTCTGGTATGTAGGATGTTAAAAGTTGATTTTACACATGTAATCATCTTAATCCAATTTAATGTATATACCACCTGAAGAAATTCCCATATAGTCGCTCAGTCTTACAAGCATTTTTTCGAATGAACCAAGAGCCATTCAAAGTGAAATAATTTTGTCAGAAAAATGCTAATGAGTGCCATCATAATGCCAATGATTCTTAAAGTTTTTCCGATCACCATGTTCAGTAAATGTTTGATATTGAGTCGAGTCTATTTACTCAATTTTATGCCACATCTTTACAAGTATTTTTAACTGTATTTATTGGTTAAGTAGAGACCATGTTATTTTGAGATTTGTTGAGCATGTCACACATACCAAGGTATATTGGCATGAATGATTAGTGTGTTAACATGATGGAGTTGTTTAGTTATACATGTAGGCCTGAAATCATTCGACATTTAATTTTTTATCAAGTGTGTGTCTCATGTGCTTTTCTATCTGATGAGTCAGGACAGTGTAGCTGCAGAAGTGGTAGTTACAACATCACAGTGTGAAGCAGTTTGCTTATTCACCATATTTTTACCTACTGCAAGCCATCTATTCCTTACACAGTACAAATTCATCGAAATTTTTTTTGTCCTGTTCTGTTCTGACGCATAAAATATCGACTTAAAATGTTATGATTTAGTTACTACGGACAGTCATTAATAAATATGTCTGTATTTTGTGATAATATCACGAACGTCTTGCTGAGGAGCAATGAAGAAAAAATTTGCAATCTATTGTTATTTCAGTGAGTGAAAATTGCATAGCCGAAACAATTTTGCACGTACGCCTCAATTGCCATGCCTTTATCATACACTTGCAATTTATTACACTATTTTCTCTGCCGAAAAGGCTACCTTGCTATCTCTTTGATGTTGGCGCAGCTGGCTGCCAAATCCATGCTATTAGAGGCACAAAAACTGCTCGTTCGCTTTTTTGTGGTAATATTAACGGAGAAAGAACACGAGCGACACTAGACAAATATTTGCAAACTCAATAAATTGCATCCAATCCCTGTGTAGCAAAGTTGTATCCTGAAAATTATACATCTTTCAAAATATTCATTACACGGTTCGGACTTGCAGTTTTGTTTTATGTTATTGTGTATTGTCGTGGAAGCAAATTAGCAATGAGGCATTTTAAATATTTTCTTTTGCAATACTGTAGAATTTTGAATTGCTGATTTAGGAGTTTGTATCGACCAATTATAAAACCAATGCCTGAATGCCACTATTGCCGACAAAGGAAACGGTTATCACATTAGGAAACATTATATCTGGAAACTGCTTAAATACGAAATTTTCAAAACATATTTATGTAGGTATCTTGACAACTCCTCAACTTCATTACATTGTGCGCTGCACTAACGATCCCGACTATGGAAAGGCAAGTGAAGAGGGTTATTACCAAAAAATCTCATCTGCTTTCCTAAAGTTAACGAAATCCCTGACTCTATCATCCATCAATATTGATGGTGCGAATGGCGTGGGTGCATTGAAGTTTGCCGCGATGGGAAAGTATTTGGAAAACGCATTGCCCATGCGCGTTTATAATGACGGTACCTCCGGTGAACTAAATAAAAATTGCGGTGCGGATTTTGTTAAAGTTTCCCAGAAGGCTCCGGAAGGCCTGGAAATGATTGTTGGCGAAAAGTACGCTTCCGTTGACGGAGATGCTGATCGAATTGTGTATTTTTATCTGGATGAAACTGGATCGTTTCGTTTACTTGACGGCGACAAGATTTCCACGTTAATAGCCGGTTTTTTCAAAGATATTTTAGTGAGTTCACGTTTAACGCTTGAGCGAGGCTTGGGAGTTGTTCAGACAGCTTATGCGAACGGTAGTTCCACTGCTTACCTGGACAGCCACTTAGCTGTACCCGTCGCTTGTGTTAAGACTGGGGTAAAGCATTTGCACAAGAAGGCGAACGACTTCGACATCGGCGTTTATTTTGAAGCGAATGGTCACGGTACGGTGTTGTTTAGCGACGATTTCAAAGCTAAGTTGAACGAGGCACTGCTAGGAGCGGAAACCCTGCCGGAGATACGTGTAAAACTGGAGGATTTGAAAGCGTTGATGGAACTCGTGAATGAGACTGTTGGCGATTCTATATCAGATATGTTGATCGTGGAAGCAATTTTAGCTAAGAAGGGTTGGAGTCTGAAAGACTGGGACCAATGTTATGTTGACTTGCCGAATCGACAGCGAAAAATTCAAGTTAACGATCGTACGGTTGTCGTTACGACTGATGCTGAAAGGAAGGTCACCTTGCCAAAAGGTTTACAACCGGAGATTGACAAGCTAGTAGCAGGTGTAAAAAACGGCAGGTCGTTTGTCCGACCCTCGGGTACCGAAGATGTCGTAAGAGTGTATGCGGAAGCTGCAACTCGCGAGGAAGCGGAGAGTCTCGCCCTAGCTGTTGCACGGAAAGTCTATGATTTAGCCGGTGGTGTCGGTGTTAAACCTCATTGATTAAACATTGTGCAACATTTACGTGGAATGAGGTGATATAAGAATTTCTATGTGGCATTAAATGTCATTTTCATGTCAACATATTGCTACTGTATTTTCAAGTTGAAAGCGATTAAATAGTAAAATGCTTGAAATATTTTCAAATGGTTTTTCGTCAACGGTTTGTAAATGATGAGTTTAAATTGAGATTCATGAAAGAATGGTAATGATCTGAAATAATAACTCCCACTTTTTTCCGACATTTCCACATTTGAAACACTGCCTCCCCTTTGACACTAATGTACAATAATATACAATACTTCATGCACAAATGCACTTTGCTACTCGAAATTAGCATATTTACATTAAAATAGTGCAAAACGACAGCTAACTGCACCCCTCTCCTCCTTTTACGAACTAATCAAATATGTCCTCCTTTCGTTACGCACGTACTAAGACAATTCCCTACACCCTTCGTTGTCTTTTGGGTTGGCATAATCAGTTGACATTTTCAATGCTGTCAGAGTTTGACTGCTTTAGATGTAAGCATAGATGTGTATAATAAACTAGATAGCGCATTGCAATAAAACACCCACATTGTTGTCACCCGGTTACTAGTGACGACGTATTCCTGTTATTTTTGGGAATTTAAAGCCATTATAAAGATAGCAGGTTTCAGATCAGTGGATGGAAGACGTAAATTTTTTCGCTGACGTGATGGTAAATGATTTGCTCTGGCACGTGTAAAATGAACAATTGGTAATTTTCCTGGCGTCCTTGCATGTCCCAAGATGACATTTTTTAGAGGCTTTTCATGTTCACTCCACGACTTGTAAGTATTAATCGTTCAAAACGTTATCATTATTTTAACTCCAACTATGTGTATCATTTGCATAAACAACTAAAGACAAGTTTCGAAGGATCGTTCTTTGCAGTTCTCCCAGTCGACTTTACAGCACCACACGAAAACGTGCCCACAATTCCCAGAGAGTCGATTCGTCTCCAACAATTTTCAAGTTCAGTCCACGACTTGTAAGTTCTAAGCTTTCAAAATGTTACTTAGACTGTTTAGTGCGTTAATTGAAAGGGATGTAGATTCAAATATGCATGTCTTAGTACGTCCAAAACAATTCATTTGAAAGAAACTTATTACGGCGAAACATGCGTAAATGAAGACCCCCCCCCCAATTATCGAATTTGCTACGTCAGTAGTACTCATTGGAGATGAAGAATTTTTAATGAATCTCTTCTAAATTTAATATGTTTTGCGCTCAAGTAGCAATCACGAAGGGTTGATTGTCATGCGACGTCATGTTTCTAAATTCACGTCATGAACTCACTTACTCGACCCAGTCTACACCGGCTGTATGATGTTATGACAATCACTTCGTATATGAAGGCCTTAGACCAACTTGTTTTGAATTTGTATTTGTATTTAACTTGTATTTCATTCATGATTAAGTGTGGCACTGGTTTCTCAAAATGTATAAATAAAACCAATTATTCAACACACAACATAAGTTATACACGACTGAAAACGCAAAGTTACAAAATTTAATCTACACGAGAAGCTGTGCGAAACTCTGAAACGAGATTCAAACAATAGCAAACATTGCAACTAAAATGTAACATACGCAACTATAGAACGAACATTGTGTTCGCCATTATTTCAACTCCAACTATGTGTATCCGTTTGCATCAACAACTAAAGACAAGTTTCAATGGATCTTTCTTCTTTGCAGGTCTCACAATTGACTTTACAGCACCACACGAACCGACAATTACATGGAACGTTGGTGTACCCCACTTTAGTCTCAAAAGAACGCCCACAGCATAAATTATCGCAATTGTCTTGGCCTTGCGAGGTACTATTGCATGTGCGACCAAACGTTCCCACAATACCTAGGGAGTTGTTTGGTTTGCAAAAATTTTCCGATCGCTTAAAATATACAAGTTTTCCTTTGATCCTTTTACGAGCTTTTAGCCATTTCTTTTTTACGCGGGTGGAAGATTTCACTTTCGGATACAGTTCGTGGCTTGTCCTGTTCCAACGAGTTCGCGTGGGATTCTCGTACAGTCTCCAAAGTTCCCTCTCGATCTTCTCAAGTGTGAAGGGAACACTCCAAATGCATATTTTTCGCCAGCAGTTTTCCACCAGTAATGAAACGCATTCGCATTTCCGATACACGCTTCTACGCACAAGCTATAGACGAGAAAATAGATGTAATGATTTTATTGTGAAGATTTTCGGCAAGTCAGTACGTTATGGAACTTGAAGGCTTAAAAATATTGATTTCTGAAACATCATGCGGCACCTTACTCTGATTTATTCAGCTTTTATTTTTCTTCGCCGTAGTAAAATTAAGACAATTTGAACTGAACCAAATCGATATGTGTGATTATTTAGTCTAACTAAACACGACACAGGGCCTTGGGAAGCTTTGGGTGTCCGGGTGTACGGACATTCTTAATTTTCGCAATGCGGTTGTCTCTTTATAGGAAGAGGCTTCATATTTAAATATTTATCATATGAATGTCGCATTTTTATAGATATATCACATTTTCAGATAAAATGAACAGAGGAAAACCGAGGAAAACTGAACACTCAAATATAATATCGAGCTGTTTCATTTCAGCACGACATCACACGTGCTGTTCACGTTCAGGCTTACCTTGACACCAACCATTTGATTATGTTGCTTTGCCCTTTTCTTGTGGGACTTTCCGTTATTCGGTCCCATGATGCTCTTGGCGAGATATTCACCGAAGTCGACGTCGTATGAACAACCTTCCAATATTGCCGGGTCAGAGCTTTGTCTTCGCCCCAGGACGCCACAACCGCAATACTTAGTCGACTTTTGTCTACAGACACGTGCAATCGTTATCATGACGCTGGCCACAGTCAACGCTTGGACATACGCCGTTTCTGCCGAGGCTAAACAGATTGGTTGTTAATACAGGGAAAGATTATTTCAACTTGTTTTTTCATGTAATACAGGGTATACAGTTTTATAACGCAACATTTTTGAGACCCGTGACCTTCACTGTATGTTTCGGTACATGAACAAAAAACCAACTTCTAAGTCCGAGATCCCTGAAGAAAATGCTTCTTGGTGTGTGCTATTTAAAAGATTTGACTAAAAACACAGTTTTGCGGACGGTTTGCGTACTACTGCCTTGAAAATACATAAAGCCAGACGATTTGTAAACTTTGAATACAGTTAGTAAAATACTACCTTTTTTCAACAATCCTCCACCACTCAAGACTTGTTCCCAGTTCAAAGGAGTGCAGTTCCACCTTTCTGAGCGAAACCGATCTCTACATTTGCTCAAAGCTGTGTTCACACCTTCTTTGATGACATCGATCATTTTGGGGTAACTATAGCAATACTGTCTCTGATATTTCTTCATCCAGGTCATGTTTTTGCAATACCTAATTGTTGCATGGGACAGTCCAACGTTTTCATTTTCCTTTGAGTTTTGTGCTTCATGACTAAACAAGATAAAGCTACAATGAATTGACAAACAAAAATGATTGAAAAAAAATGTGCATTAAAGAATGCGGTTTCATGTAATCTTAAAATCTTTGTAAGCCATGTTAGTCTTGAACGGCATTTCCTTAACAAGTTTGCTAGCCTACACAATTTTTGTTTTCAACAGAGATTCAATTCAAACCGGACGAAAACACCTAGTTAAAATTGAAAAAAGCTATGATGTTAATATGTATATTTTTTCATTGACATCTGTTGTGGGGGTTGTAGAAACTCTTCTTTGTGTCTGATTAAAAATGCTCTTTCGATATGTCGCCATGTTTTTGAAAATAATGAATGTCACAAAGCATGTTGTTTGCTTTCCACGTGGAAAATAACAAATGCGTTAAAGTTAAAGATTAAGATTAAAACTATACGTATCGAAAGTGTCGAGATAACGAGTTGGACACTTGTTTGCAAATTAAAACCACACATACCTCAATACAACGATCAAAATCACCAAATATTTTCCCATCATTTCCAAGTTGTGATTGAGGCAAAAAGGCTACAAACAAAACGAAATTAGCTACGGTTTCTTTCGTCGAAAAAGTAATTGCCGGTTGGTAGTCAAATAAATGATGACAAAATTGCAGCTACACCAGCTAAAGCGTTAAAAACGGCGATATAATTGTACTCTAAAGAGCGCTTTGTACTTGCATACTTTGAAATACGTACTTCGCTCCAATTAACGCTAACTTCATTCGCTGTTGAGCATGTCATATGTCATTCAAATTTTCAGAATAAATTATAAGTTTCAGCTTATTATGCGCACAGGGTTGATAAAAAAAGGAAGACCTATGTGAGAAATTTAATGCTGCATCACTCTTCTAATCCCACGAGTAAAATATTGTTAGGTACTGACTTATAAGTATGGTTTTTACTAGCAGCATAAGCAGAAGCGAGAAACAATGCAAAGCTTATTCTCCTGAGGTTGGAGGAAGCAAAGCCAAAAGGGATTTTCTTTTCAATTTGCTTTTGTTCCACCTTTAAGCTTGTGACAAGCTGCATTCTCTTGTATTTTCTTTTGTTTTTACTTGTCCTTATGCTTATGACGCAAGTAAAAACCAGGCTTTACATGGATTGTATTCGAAGCACCTGTTTCATAAGAGAAATATGCAATTTTGTCCCACTCTTTGTGTTGATTGTAAGATTTGTTATTAGTTTTGCCTTCTCCACCGAAGAGTATGCAATTATACAGCACTAGTAATCATGCACTAGACTATTTTCAATCGACTTGGTTGAAATTTAATTTCCTCAAGGTTTGAATTCAAGCTTCATACATCCGAAGTATTTCGATGCATCTAGTCATAATCCTTACTAGCATCATTGATCAGAAGACATCGAAGAAGACACAACGAATTGCTATTTGAAGTGTTGTTATTATGTTCAGTGTCGAAAGAAATAAATGGCTGCTTAGTTGAAATTGTTGATCTCAAAGCCTATAGGCATTGTAAGTCAGCGTTACTTTAAATAGTTTGCTAATGCATGTTCAGCGGAAACTAAATTGTATGATGAATTAAGTTTTTCCATTGTTTCCACGCGAAAATAATGGCTGAGTCTTACATAAAATCGACATGGCTTCAAAAATGTAATCAAGCTTTAATTTGCACTTTGTATTTAAAATTTATATAAACTACAACGTAGTAAACTGCATGATGTTCTTACATTTACTTTACTCTGGTAAAAGATTTATAGAAAAAAATAATCTTACCATTTCTTAAGAAAACAGTTCAAGTTAAGATGCCTTCTCATATTAAAGATCGTCGTTGATGCATCATATTTTTTGTAAAATTTTCTTCATTTTAACTTCGACAGCACCAAGCAAGAAAGCGTTTGACTGAAAAAGCAAATTCTTTTTATCGACACTACTGAATTTGATGGATGCGAAATTGGAGATAGCATATTTTCATCATCTTTGTCGGCAGTGGCCGTCTGTCAGTTGTGACTTTGATAGATGGAAATTAGGATTCGAAACCATGTGGATGCAAAATATTGTGCAATATGGAAGTTTGTGTTGATTCAGTTAGATCTGCAATAAACGCCGAAATTGGAGGTATTTAATTCTACACGTTTGACGTGCACTTTTCATTCATTGTACATGAAATGTTAGTCGTCCGTGGCACAATAAAATTACATAATTATATATTAATAGAATTACTAATATCGTAGTTTTTTGTTTTAAACCGTCGATTTTACAATATCCATGTATTAATGTGTTGAAATACGTGTTTGAACCTTTCAATTTCATGAATATTTCTACCAAGTGTTTTTAAGGTTTGCATAAGTATTTTACTTTTACATAAGTATTTTCTTTCATAAGTATTTTACCATGCTCAACAACAGTGGAATGGTTTTTTAGGTGCAAAACGGATTGAGCTCTGCACAGACCTTTTAGAAGGCGGAGTATCACCAAGTGTAGGTAAGGTTAAACATAGAAGTCGTATCAGTGGCAGATGCTATGAAATATTAGGAGACTAGGCTCTAGAATAAAAAAGTCAAGAAGCTTTAATGCCCATACATACCTATACTGGTGTGATTGGGCCATTTATTATTTGGTGCAAGATTTTTAGTCTTACAAAAATATTGGGCTCTTGTCCCCGCTACACCCTCTCAAATGCTCCCCTAAGTCTTATATACAGTACATTATATGATTGTCATGAAACACAGAAGTTTCAACATCTAATCATTTCTTATGAGCCACTAGATAGAAGATAATAATGAATCTCTATTGCAATGTTAGATCACCATTATGCACTTTAACAGACCGTCATAGTTAACTAACTGACATTTTTTGCAATTTAAAAATGCTCAGGTCTGTTGAAGGTGGTCAAGCGAAAGGTATCCCTACCCGTGTTTGTAATGATACGACCCAGGGGTGGCGACTTCTTCTATTCTGAAACAGAGTTTGAAGTGATGATTGAAGATTGCAAGCAGCTAATTAATGCTGGAGCTGATGGAATTGTATTTGGAATACTTGATAGGTAATATAATCAACACAATGTATTTAATATCATTTCTTTCTCCATGATTTGTCTCCTTTTATCAACCCCTCCCTCATGCAACATGTGGCCCAGGGAAATGCTCTTCTTTCCCTTGCTTTTTAAATGGCCCTGCTTATGCCTACTTATACATAACATATTTTTATGAAGTATAATCATTGGTGATGGTAAACTTTTGATTCATTTATTCATTGTGTATTTTCTAAATCTGTTTACATTCTATATAGACATGGAAAAATTGATGTTAAATGTTGTCAATACATTATAGGTAATACACTAACATTGTCGGACTTTGCTTAATACATAAACTGGCATGATAAAGTAAATGCATTTCTTTTGTTACTCTCATGAAGATTTGGTCAAACCACTACCAGTTACATTCCATCGAGGTGAGTTTTGGTTATTCAAGAAAGAATAATACTTTATTGAATTGAAAAGACCATCCAAAAAAATGTTTTCATTCACATGAAGTACATAACTGGTCTGTTTTATGGAAATAAGGCTATCGTTATCAAGGCACAGCCAATAGCTCAATTGTGGTTTAATGTTCAGTCAAATGGACAAAATACACTGGTTAATTGTCATGAATTAATCTTTTTGTTGTACTGGCATCACATTTTTTAGACGGTGGTCAGTTAAAGTTCATTTTTACTCTTCTATAACCTTTTCAGTACTTACCTAATTCCCTAAATTCTAGCAAATATTTCCCAATATCTGCCCTGCAGTCTCAACCCCAACTCCCACCAGCCCGATCTGCCTACGAATAAATTGCTCATCGCTCGTATAAAGTGTGAAGAAAATTTTATGGTCTATATGCTTCTAAGTTATGTAGCGTTGTTTACGGACCAGTCAAATCAAGCTGCACGTAATGAATCTTAAATCAATTGCCAAACAGATAAGCCTTAGCACCAACCATGTATTGATATTGTCTTTACTGGATGCCAAATTTTATTATGAATATACCTTTGTTGACCCCAGTGATAGATACTTTATGAATTAAATACTGGGAGGAGAGGACTCGTCCTCGAGGCATGAGATTTCTAGAAAGATTCCAGGGCATGTCTATAGGCAGACTTATAAAATTTGATCACCAGAAGTTTAATTAAAGGATTCCTACGTCCACATAATCCTACACACACAAGGTTAAATGCGTCTGCTAGTACGTGTACAGTACAGAAGTCTATCAAATAGTTATTATTTAACATCACATGTCATGTTATGTTGGTGTGATTTGAGAGATTTGGCGCAAGACTTTTATCTTTGAAAATTATGGGGGGGTTCAAGGCCCCCTAGCCCCCCTCACAGTTTTGTAGTGTAAAGATTAGACTTGATTTGGTCAATAATGAAAGTCTTCATAGATACGCCTTGGGGTGTATTAAAGAAGGGATGTGTGGTCCCCTTGATAACAGTGGTAAATATTTCCAACCCCCCCTTTTAAAATTTAGCAATGTATTTTTGGATATATTACTGTATTCTTAATCAATACATTGTTGTTATTGATTTGTTGTTTTAAATAAAACCGTGGAAAGTTTAGGGAGGACTCGTGAACAGATCAGAGCAATTTTTATGTTTGTATTTTATAATAGCCTTTGACATGGTCCCGGATCAAAGCGTTGCATTGGAGAGTTTGATAAACATCGGGTGCAGTCGTGTTCTCACGAGTGGAGCACGACCAACGGCTGTTGAAGGATTGCATAGCATCAAAAACCTTGTGCAACAGGTATAATATGAGGGACGCTTGTTCAATTGTCTACTCGACGGTGCTTTTTTTAAAGATCGGATTGACAATTTTATAGCTAGCTTCAAGTATTTCTAAGCTGGAATAATTGAATCTTCAGTGACCCTTTTTATATTGTCTCAAACGCTTGAAAATTATTTAGTTCTTCAGATGAGTTTACGTGAAAACCATCGAAGATTTGAAACGAAAGCCAAGAAAGCTTTGTTAAGAAAATGTTACATTTTTTAATTTTGTCAATGAATGTGCGTTAAGTAGTTTACTTCAATTCTAATACTGTAAAACTATTTACGTATTGTAATACTATTCTAAACACTATTTTAGAGCACCCTCCCCCCCAAAAAAAAATTCCGTCCCCGGACATGGCTAAACTTCGACTATAAGTATTTTCTTTGTAGGAGTAACGATAAATTTTCATATTATCTTATTAATTTGACACTGATTTAATTTGGCTTGCACTCCATTGCTAGGTTGCTTTTGTCGTAAAATCTTTTTAAAAAGCACTTATTTAAAAGTGAATTGAATAAAATAAAAAAATTACTCCATCTAGTAAAGTTTCTAGAACGTAAGTAAATCAAATGACCGCATTTCTCCCACCAAATATTTGATCTACTTAAAAGAGAGAAGAGTCATGTTTAACGTTCTATTTTATTCGTATAGGCTCGCGAAAGAATTTTGATCATGCCAGGTAATCCATTAAGTAATTACACGAAATTGACACACGTCGCTGTAGTTTTAGTTTTTGCTACTGAAACCACCTACACAACCTACATTTTGTCCCATTGTCATCTTGCCATCTTCAGTGGCGTAGCCAGCCTGCATGCAAGTTTGGTCGTGCTATTTAAATATTTACGTGTACACTCACTGTAAAAACAAAAGATTCCAAAGAAGTGAACAATGCTTGTCATCTGAAATTTACATATCACGAGCAATTTTGAGGGCTAGCTACGCTACTGCATGTTCCTGCTACGTTTTCCCAATGGGATCTACCTATTTTTTGACTCATTGTATCATGAATATACCGTAGAGCAACTCGATTGAGTTGTTTCGTGTCACGCATATACTAGGCCTGTTTTATACGTTGCATTTTACATGAGTCGAAATCATTCAAAACAAAAGATAATGAGGAACTTTATCTCATTGTCTTTTGTCTCAAATTCATTCGACACATGTAAAATGCGACGTATAAAATAGGCTTTATTTCAAATATACGTAATTGCCATAGTGGCAGCATGTAAATTTCTTTTTTGATCAATTGGAATGATGAAATGGCTAACAGCAGCCTGTAATCTAATAGAATACACAGCAAACAGTTGCAATGCAAAGTGGACCTACTGGATATTCCCTATGCTGTGACTGCGTAATTACTCATTACGCATTAACATGTCTTTGTTAGGTGGTGGGATAAACGAGGATAATTTACTTGAAATATTAAAGTCCACTGGAGCGAAAGAGTTTCACGGTTCAGCTAAAGTTTGGGTGCCATCTCAGATGCAATTTAAGAATACTCTCGTACACATTGGTACATCTATGGAGGAATATGGACACATGGAAGCTTCATTAGAGAAAATCAGGCGGCTGACAAAGATTGCCAATGTCTTGTCATAGGTGAGTTAGTTGCTTTAACAACAATTTGTGCATGTGCGGCTAATTTCTACTTTATGACTTATCGTATTTGAGCTATGATTCATCGATGGTTGAACGAATTCAAATATTCGTTAATTTTATTTTGCTTTACGTAATTTCTCCTGTATAGTCTACTTTCCTCGTGTGTTAGTTAATCTATAAAACGAATGCTTTGATAGAATGGAGTTGCTATAAATTCAGTCTTTCTTAAAACGACTTGTAGTGCCTGAACTGTTCCTTCTTATTTCTTTATCCATGCAAAGCTCAACCTTAGGTCAGCATTTTTCTTGGTAGTATTCCTTGCTTTGGAGTTCAAAACTACCCATACGGAGTCCTTTCCATAAGAAGCGGCAATAATTGTTGTTGAAATGGCAGTCACTCTAACTCCACGCAAAATGGCGATTTTTTGTGTATTTAACTTCGATTCATTAGCATATCGCCTGCGAATTTAGACGAATAAAACATGCATAGCATTGTGTATAACCTCAAGTCGGCAACATGTTGTACACTTTGCTGAATTGTTCAGACATCGTTTAACCCGGATGATTTAAGCCCACTAATTCTAAACTTCAAGTACGTATGACCTCATTTCGGGTTTTTAATGATTCTGATACATACCAAAAAGTTATTTAACAACTTCTAAATTTGGTTTTGGGTAATTTGTGTTTTTCAAGGTTGTAACTTCTCAAACGCAGAATCATACATATGTAACAAAACAATGAATGTAGGCAAACGTGTGTGGTTTGCTGGAAAGTAGAAAACTTGTAGAGTGAATTAATTAGTTCGAATTCGAAGATTGATCATCGTCCAGTCTAAATACAATAATATATTTAACATATATTTCATTGTACAAATATATTTCATCAGTCGTATCATGTTAGACCAGATGGTATTCCAGTGGAAGCTTGGTTATACATTGGAAAAATAGAGTGACGTTTTTCACACACATCTTTAACATGCTGTGCTTGGAGAGACAATTCTAAATTACCAGCTAAATGTGCTTCTTATTCTCAAAGTGTTCTAATAATACAGTGCAAGTAGCTCTATGAAAGATTAAATAAAATACGATTGACAACAAATTTCATTTATGTAAAAAGTTTACAATGCTTGAAATTGGCTTAGATATACCTTTGTTCTTCAATGCTGTAAAAATGGGACATCAGACAAAAGTGTCTAATTTATCGTGACTCTTGGCTCAAAGGGTTTAATTTGTTAGTAGTAAATGAGTGTAAATGATTTTCTATGAAAAATACCATAGTATTTTAAAATTTGATATGGGTTATTTAAGTTGTAGTTAGGAGCTCTTTAGACAACAGGTGTTACAAACTCTTGACATACTATCAAACTTCTTTATATATAGAGAGATTCATTCAATTTAAATTCACTCATTTCTAAACTCAAGGTATTCCTTCATAATGTTGCTTCTGGGCATGAATTTCCAAAGACTTTAGTGTTGCCAATGTAAATGTTTTACATGTTTGTAAATGTAGATCGTCCAGGTTAGTATAGTCCTGAGAAGGACTGTTTTTGTTGTTGTTGACTGACGTTTCGACAACCTTAGCGGTAGTCATCTTCAGAGTCGAAATAAATTCATTCAGAGTCATTTTCACTCTGAAGATGACTACCGCTAAGGTTGTCGAAACGTCAGTCAACAACAACAAAAACAGTCCTTCTCAGGACTATACTAACCTGGACGATCTACATTTACAAACATGTAACGATACTCCCGGGTTCAAACCATTTACTGTAAATGTTTTAGTATTTCAAAACAGTAGTTGGAATAACATCGTTCCTCCAAGGACCCTGAAACCTTCGCAAACATTGCTTCCATTTTATACTATCGCCTCCAAAATGCACGAATACTTTACGATGTGACTCAATCAAACAGCAATGAGTTACTTCCTATAAGAGGTGCCTGTGTAGAATGAGGTCTTAAAGTAGAGCGAGGACTGTTGTAATAGCAATTGTAATTATTTTTATTGTACAAATTTTGAACAAATCATTTTTGTGAAATTGATATAGATTTTCTGATAAAGGGCGCTTAGCAGCCCATTAAAAACTACTAAAGAATTTTTTTCTAGGCGAAAAAAAGCATCTTTGTGTCCGTACGTAGCTTAGCTCATGTGTATTGAAAAAATCATGCACATTCTTACATGAAAATTGTTTGCGATTGAAGACATATGGTCCGCGACAAACTTTAAACTTCGAGAAATTTTGAATCGTTGTATTCCTAAGTACCTACCTGCGTATGTTTATTTGCCAACAACTTTCTGCTGTTGCTTTTGCATTTTTTTCGAAACATCTCAATGTAGCTAAGCCCAATGCAAAGGAGACTTAGACAAAGTTGCTTGCTCCACTGCTCCTAGAATCATCCAACATAAAGCCAAGTACGTCAAGTTTGGATGGTATAATACAACGAATTTATTGCTAGCTTTCCACTTTTCGAAACCACGTGTTGATATTATGAAAAATTTTAATCACAAGGATGATTAAAGGGGAAGTTCGTTAAAAAGCACTGTCAGAAATAGAAACAATGATCACATCATTAAAAATGCGTAGACGATTTGAGTAAATGTATCGCTAAAAATATTTAAAGTAGACGTTGATCTATTGAAGATTTGCTGATGAAGAAAAAATGATTTCTTATTTATTTTCTCATTTTGTCGAGTCAATTTCTCAGTGTAATCAAAAATATCTGCAGAGTTTATGTTTTTCCTGAATGATAAAAATGGAAATAAACCGTTGTAGTTATAAAGAAAATGGCCACATCCAAACAGAATGCACCACGCCGTTGTCTTTAATTTTCACTGTAAATACTGAAAAACCTAAACTTGGTACAGTTTACCCTGGCAGGTGCCTGTTGTTATTTTATGAACGAATTCATCTGAAAATTCATAAAGTCACAGAAATAAAGGCCTGTGTATCATAATGCACTTGCTGTAAATAAACAAAGCAATATTACACCTGCAACAATCATAATTTATTTTAGCGAAATACACTCATTAATACTAAAATGAAGGTTGCTTGAAATAATTGCAATTGTACGATAGCCACATATACATCTCATTCACTACTTTGCAAGTTCAAATTAAAAGGTAGTTATTGCAGTGTTGTATAACAAACAAAGTCGCAAAAGTCCTTTTTTTTGAACTGTCACATAGTACAATTAAAACGTTTTCTATTTCACATAGAAAAAGTGTTTGAAATTCATCAATAAGTCTCTTACATGTCCGACATTCAACACCAGCATCTTCACTGTGACCACAATTGTGTGTTTGCCATCCACTATGGGCGCAACTAGATAAATTAGCTTCTGAACCCGTACAAGCAACATCATCCAACCATATTGTTCCACTTCCATCAGGTACTGAACCTCCTTGTAAAGCCCTAACGGCACTGCTATAACCTAATTGACGGCATACAACCCCAGAGTCTTGTAAATCCCAACTATCGTCACAAATTGTTCCCCATTGTCCATTGTAGAATATTTCAACCCGACCTACTCCTTGGTTGCTTCTTGGTCCTTGTAGTCGTACTGGTGCATCTACGAAAAATAAATTATTTATTCAGTGTTGTATTACAAACAAGTCGAAAAAGTCCTTTTTTTTGAACTGTCACATATTACAATTAAAACGTTTTCTATTTCACATAGAAAAAGTGTTTGAAATTCATCAATAAGTCTCTTACATGTCCGACATTCAACACCAGCATCTTCACTGTGACCACAATTGTGTGTTTGCCATCCACTATGGGCGCAACTAGATAAATTAGCTTCTGAACCCGTACAAGCAACATCATCCAACCATATTGTTCCACTTCCATCAGGTACTGAACCTCCTTGTAAAGCCCTAACGGCACTGCTATAACCAAATTGAAGGCATACAACCCCAGCGTCTTGTAAATCCCAACTTTCTTTACAAATTGTTCCCCATTGTCCATTGTAGAATATTTCAACCCGACCTATTCCTTGGTTGCTTCTTGGTCCTTGTAGTCGTTCACATAGAAAAAGTGTTTGAAATTCATCAATAAGTCTCTTACATGTCCGACATTCAACACCAGCATCTTCACTGTGACCACAATTGTGTGTTTGCCATCCACTATGGGAGCAACTAGATAAATTAGTGAAACCATAGACATTGCCAGAGATTTAATTTTTACTAACAACCCTACATTCAAAATGAACACAACAGAACGAAAACTACTATTTAAAATAGCTACAGCCGAGACTCATATTTAACGGTAAGTATAACGACCAAATTGACGGGGTAAGTATGGGTACACCCTTAGCAACATCTTTATGGGTTTCCATGAACGCAACTGATTAAATAACTACAACAACAACAAACCTTTATTTTACCGCAGATACATTGATGACATTTTGTGTATTTTTCATAACAAAAACGAAGCATTACTCTTTTACTAATACATCAACAAACAGCATGAATGCATAAACTTTACATACGAAATCGAACAAGACAATCAGATGCCCTTTCTTGACATCTTACTAAATCACATAAAAACTGTATGACCTCTATACAGTACGTATACGTACCACAAACCAACATATGCAGAACTATGACAAATTATTTTAGTTTCACACCTTTAAATTACAAAACTGGACTTATACGACCATTGACCGACTGAGCACGGAAACTGAACAACATAGAAATCGGCTTTCAACGTGACTTAAAGAAAGTAATATTCACTCTTCAACGTAATTCTTTTCCTTTTCATTTCATCAACAACACAATACAACAGTATTTGGACAACAAGAAAAGTACTGACTCATCTAACGCCACAACTAACACAAACGATGAACAACAACACGATAATAAACATTACTTCAAACTATCATATGTGTGATTACTCACGACACACAAAACGCAAACTCACACAAATCATTAAACGCTACTGCACTGACATTAAAGTTAAACTTATTTCTGCTAATTTCAAGATAAAATCTTTATTCTCATTTAAAAATCCGCTTCCTGACTTTCGAAATCTATGGTAGTTTATCAATTTCCATGTGCGGGATGTAATTCCCGCTATTTTGGTGAAAGTTCACGCCAATTATCTACCAGGATAAAAGAACACACTCACACTGACAAAAACTCTACCATCTATAAACATCTTAATGCCTCTCCTTCATGTAAAAACAAATTCTCGCCTTCCTGTTTTCAAATCATCGACACGGACCAATCACAATTTTCTCTCAAAATCAAGGAAGCTATCCACATTAATAAAACTAATCCTGATTTAAATGTTCAAGTTCACCATTACAACACTATATTTTCTTTATAATATTTCTTTCTGTTAAAAGTTTTCAATAATTAAATTTATGTATATATTTTTTATGTTAATATTTTGATATTTTGTAACTAAAACATAATCCTATTCATTGTAAATAATTTATTCATATGTTAGCTACCCATTATGCACTGAAGATGGCATTCTGATAATGTCGAAACATGTTTGCACTCAAAAAAATTGTCGTTTTTCTCGAATGCTTTTTTAAACTTGCTGCTAATTAGAAATTAAGTTGAAAGTGTTAATCTTGACTTTAGTCATGTACTGCCTTTTTGTCCTTGTTAGCTGCTGTGCCAAGCCATTTTAAATGCTTTTTCAGAGACTTTTTTTCCTGAATGTTGCGTTATTAATTAATAGCTGAATCCATTCGTTATGTTTGACTTTATACCTAACTCAGCCTATTGAATTTGTTTACGAATTTTGAAGACATGCAAGATATATATTCTAGGCTTCTAACATTTTGTCTAAGATAAAACTTTCTCCGTTTATTTAAAGTTGATTGTGATGGGCTTTTTAAGTCCGGATCATTTAAATTAAAATTTACATGCATAAAATACATGCAAACTATTCTTCAAAACGGGAACCACTACTTTTGGAATAACAATGACTTTTAAAAGCGTACTAGCCAATTTCAAGAACCTATCGATTAGCTGGAAGATATTTTATGCAATCGGCGTTTCTCTGAGGCAGTGCAGATATTAACAAAACCAATAAATGCAGGGATGGTTGCCCACGGCTCATGAGTGAACTGACTATGGGTGTACTAACTGACAAAACATTGCACGCATTTGTTTGGATTAATCTTCTCGACACTCGATGGTTGGATCACAATAGTTTGTCTGTAAAGATTATACTTGTTATTTGCGGAAATGCAGCTGAAGTCTTCTGGATTACCTTCTTTGTTTAGATAAAACTACTCATTAAATTGCTGATAAAATGGATGACTTACGAAAAGATGGTTTGATTTCCACTGTAGATAAGTAAGCTGAGTATGGGTGTAATTAATGACAGATTCATCTAAAGCTTTCCTAATGAAAGTGATCAGGGACTGCACAACTCCATGCATATAAGACGCACTGAGAAAATTGATACGTTTTCTCTTCAAATGCACTCTCCAATGTATTTAGCATAAGATATTTCGTGAGCGTCTGCGATCATGTGAATAGCAGATATGGAAATGTCAGGACCACTAGTATCTCCAAAGATATTTAAACCGCTTCCAACGAAACACGAATGGTTAAGACATCGTCTCATTTTGTAACTCGAAAGAAACTGATAAAACCTTTAATCTCTGCTTTCTCAAGTTTTTTTTCAATATTTTCCACATATCTTCTGTCAATAGTCAAACCGTCCCTCTCTTCCTTATAAACGTAAATCAAAATAACCAACTTTTGATAAACACTTAATAAATACCACTTTGAGCTAAGTGGTGTAAGCTTCGCCTTTGGTCTTGGGCTTGGACTGATCAGCTCTCGAACACTTCCGAAGGTCTCCTCGGATTGATTAAGTCTGTGCAAACACAGTAAACATCTTCAATTTCTAACTTGCCGAGCTATTTACAGACCTAACAGAAGACTGAAACAAATTCTGTATACAAGCAGGTGAACTTTTGATTTTTTCTTTTACGAAATACTATATGCATTTCGGGCAATGCAGCAATCTCGAGTAGTTACGGTGGAAGTTAATTTGGCACGTGATTTTTTTTCATTGCCACAAGTTGTTTGCTTTAGCGTGGATAATCCGCTCTCTATTTTGCTGACTACATTAAAGACGACACAGGTCAAGATACTATACAGGTATAAGCTTTGCAGGTGATCACAAACATCAATAATATCGCATTTGGGAGAATAATGATTTCATGCCTCTGCAGTCAAAGATTAAACATATTCTTGAATCGAAACAGAATTGTTTGCTGTACAGTCTTTTCAAATGCTATTGAGAAATTAATAACAAGACTACACGGCCCGTTGTCTTGTCAATATTGTCTGTTCAGGCGGAAGTAAACATGTGATCTAATGATCTGTTGAGTCAACAACGTATTGTACTCATTACGAACTTTTCCAAAACAAACTGTTAATGATATAGTGTTTACCTGAAAAATGGTTATCATTGAATATGGCAATGAATTTATTTTTAAAGTTTCTTAGATTTCTTTAGGACGACATACTATCTTGGGTACGCTGGCAATTCCATCTTTGCACTGTTCTTGCTGAAGACTGTTTTGAAGCATGATTCAACCATAAATAGATTGAAATTTATACAAGAAGGTGAAGAAAAGGCAAGAAAGCTAGGAAATGAATCGGACCTACCCATTCAATAACTGAATTCAAACTATTCACTTTATTAAGTGGCAAAATGATCTAAATTTATCTTGTACTTTTCTCGTTTCCGGCTACGTATTATCGATGTTTATGTTCTTTTGCTTGGTTTATAAAAGAGAGGACTTGGTAATATTTATGAATAACGCCGCTGGTTATATGACATAAATATAAGCAGATAACCACATTATCATCATGACTCCAATCATCGTTATTTTTGAGTTGCACACCTGACCTCGACCTGTAGGTTAAGAAAAAAACAAAAGATTAATAAGCAAGTTTGTGGTAGCGTGAACCACACACACTAGATTTGACACAAGCATTTAAAAACGGGAATCGAACATAAACTTATAAAAGCCTACTTATACCAAGCATAACTGTTTTCCTCAATGTCTTATTTAACTTCGAATCATTATTTCCATTTGTTTGCATGTCATTCAATGTATTTGGCTCGTTTAACCTGAAGTTTTCTTGTTGCAGTTAGGTATTCTTCGTACATATAAATCAAGGAGTTTGAAAGAAATTTTGAAATTGCTAATTCTTTCAACTATTCCTTGCATTTTGAAAATAGGTCCTGACATTTTCCAAAATAAATTATTTTTGTTATCAAGCACCTAAACTCTGGCCATCAAATAAGTATATGATCGAAGATAATGTCTACTTCTTTGTAGTTCGTTTACGTTTCGTGATGAGCTCTATATATGGAGGACGACAATGACGTCTCAACGTTATTGTTCAAACAAAGAAAGCCAAATTCCTACCGAAGAAAACCTTTCGCGGTCTTTAACACTAATTCAAAGCAAATAGAGCTAGAAGCTGAGTAAAGCAAACCTGAGTTAGTCTCCCTGGAAATTAGAGGACCGATGGAAACTGAATAGGTGTCATCTCTTGAAGTAGCGTCGCGACGTGATCTCACAGGACACGTGGTACTGCGCGTGCACAAGGAGTTCGGTATGTTTCTGTTACATAGTCGGAGATTACAATGAATGTAGACCAACGTGTGGTTAACGAGAAATCGGAAGACTTGCAACGTAAATCTGTGAGTCTGACGCAATCCCGTCGTAAGATGGACAATAGTTGGATCTTTATCACAACTATATATAGATGAAGTTAAGCTGGAGTTGTACAATAAAACCTGGCAAAGACCAGCATACAACTACGATACTTGTGTTCATAAAAACGTGCTTGCACTTTGAATTAAATTTGAAATTTACAGTCAAAGACGAAAGCTTGTACTAAATACTTAATACATGTCACTGCCGGACAGTTTTTGTTTGTAAGACTTTGTTTTGTCTCGTGCATGTTTTTTTCTTAATCCAGACATCAAAACTAATAAGTCATAAAAAATTTCCTGTCTCAGTAGCAATCAGTAGGAATATTTCAGGGTGAGTTAATGCCGTTGATGTTATTTGTTAAAGGACGGTCTTCTAGATCTTATTTAGGATCCTTATAAAGTTGACAACCATGTAGTTATTATCAAATTAGCTTCAAGGATGTTGATAATTTTCTCGAGTGATCAACATCAAGTTGGCCCGACTGTGCATTGCTTGAAGCATTTTTAAACAACCACAGCTTTCTTATGTGTTATGGCTTACCTCTCGGCGATGATTGAATACTGTGGTGTATCGTAAGGTTTGTTTGTTGGTGTAGCGTGACATGACTCTGCTCGCACGACAATGTCGGTGTTGACTGTCCGCACTCCGTATTGTATGTTAATACGATCTTGAGACCCTTTGAAGACAGGGTATTGCTCGAAGCTTGAAGGGGAAAATTGTACATCAGCAAAAGAACCAAGTTCGACAGTGAAGTTCCCCAAGTTTGCTAAAGAGAAAGCAAAATGCTTATCAATATCGTGAAGCAAAAAGGTCTTTTCAACGACCTTCTTACTCTTTGTGATTTCGAGCACTGGTTCCGGTGGCTCAAAGCTCTTTCCACTGACGCTGATTAAACGGTTGTAGGCGCATCGAAAGTCTACTTTTATAGTTTTCTTTCTTGTAATGACTGCACCTGGAGTTATAGATGCTAATGCTGTCAACGTATTACTGTAAAACATCTCCTGTTCGGTTTGAGAATACTTTGTGCCACACCCATTCAGAGATGTCGTTATGGAAACGCGCGTAGCGTTATAGGAGGCTTTGCATTTAACGTCGAGGAGATAAATGCTGTTCAGGTCATAACCATCAAAAACGTATCGTCCGAATGACAGTGTCATTCCGTTTGATCCACACATTAGATGATACGAACTAGCTGTAAAATGTATAAATGGTAAGATTTGAAACAAACTGGCAGTCGATAGCATTTTGTGCTGTTGATCATAAAGATTCATAGGATTGTCATAGAGGTGAATTTGGTCAACCAATCAGTGAAAACAATACTTGAGCTTTTATTTAAGACGGCATTTCTGCCATAAATTTTTTTCACAATATAGAAGCTTTGCTTCTGAAAACCACTGTGGATACAAAGTTGCACATGCTATACTGTCTTCCAATTGAAAAGTAAAGGAAGATTTTGCGTCAACCATACTCACCATGGCAAACAATGGAGGACATTTTCTTAGCAAAAGAAGCAAGCTCTCCGAAATTGTTCAGCTCAACCACGTGCTCATTTGATGGAAGCGACGCCATTGTAATGAGCTCGGATCTTGAAATTCCAGAACCCACTCCAATAGAGTAAATGATTACTCCATCATTCTTTAGTTTTTGAGCTGGTTGTGTCACACTATCTCGGCTTGGTCCATCTGTTAACACTATCAGTACTCTCTTTGCTTCTGAATTGTTAAAACAATAAAGAAATGAGTGCGTTGTTCTCATATTCTTAAAATTTGCATTCAGCATGGGGGACATGAAAGCAGACATTTTTGAAACATAATCAAATTATGGAATCTGTGTTCTTTTGAAAATTTTTGTGTCGGTATGAACTGTGACGGATCCTGTCCTTGTGTGAAAAATTGTTAAAGCTATAGAAGCTAATTGGTAAAGAGCACAATTGGTTTGATGTTGTTTTAATGGTTAATGGTACGAAGTAAGCCACGCACAGTTAAAGCTTTGTCAACCCTAATCTTTTAAAGATGTGTTTCCCAAGATTCCAAACTTGAGCCTACTTGTTTGTTCTGGATGCAAACGACTTATCTAACGCTTTGCAGTGTTTTATTATAAGCTAATGACACAATTCTGGAAGGTCCCAATTAGTAGACGACGACAGTTTTAAAAGCAATTATAAATGTGTTTGTTGTATGATTTTTAAATAAATCCTACGTGTGAAATTGACAAACATTAATTGCTTGGAAAGAAAGAAAGCTTCGACCAGTTCTCGTTCTTAGCAAGAAAAAACATTGCCATTTTCCGTTCTTCCCTTGTTCCTGAAAAATTGATTTTTTAAAACCCAGCTGCTGCATGTTTTTTGGACAGCAGCCTTATGCTCCAGTTCATGCTTGCGTAAGTGCATTTGCTGATTTACCTAGTGCAGCTCGAGTGACATTTTCTCGAAACATTTCACTGTAAGCCTTGTGCATAGCAGCGCCAGTGTTTGTATCCCCGCCAGGATAGGTAATGGCATCGATGGCCGAATGAAGATCTTGTTTGGTGCTGAATGTTTGGGCAAATGAGATTTCCATCGCCGTTGATGATGCATATGTTATCACAGAAACACGTGTGTTGTAAGAAGAGATGACGAAGTGATCCAGAAGATCTTTTACGAATGTGAGCATTTTACCAAAGTTGCTTGCTCCCATGCTACTAGAACCATCCAATATAAAACCAAGTTCTATGGAGGCCTGGCATTTTTTGCCATCTAAAGCAATAGACTAACTGTCAAGATTGTCATTGCAGTTTAATGCGTTGAAATATAATGAAACCGACCAAGTTTGGGTCGGTTGGTACAACATATTTACAGGTAGCTTTTCGTTTTTCCCACAAAATCTAGTGTTGGTAATATAGAAATTTTATTAAAAGAACAGGATGCTAAAGTGGAAGTTTGTTCGAATTATTAAGCCAACAGAAATAGAAAAAGTGCCATAAAACAAGGTTTACCGGGTTAACCTCATTAACATTATGTAAAATATTTAAACATCCGATGGTAAATATTTACATTATGTTCAATTATTATAAAAGATATTAATGTTTCAAGCATTTCAAGTATTTAAGACGATGTTGATTGAAATTTGTTAATAAAGAATGTATTTCTATTTATTTTAAAGAACTTTTTCATGTTCTTCAAGTCTAATCCACAATGATTTTCGCTCTTGGTCGAAATTGAGATCGTCCAAAAAAGTACCAAACTCTAACGGAATACATAAGTGCAGCACACTGTGATCGTTAATGCTTTTTGTAAACAATTAAAAACTCGAATTTGCTACAGTTTCTCCTGGCAAGTGTCTGTTGTTATATCATGAAAGAAATCATCAGAAAAAGCATAAAGCTACAGAAATAAAGGCCTTATTATTATATTGCATTGCAGACTATTTGCACTTGCTGTATGTTGCAAATAAACACAATCATCAATATTGCAGTTGCAATAATAATACTTCATATTTTCAAGAACATTGATCGGTTATAAAATGGTTATTCTTAGCATTGCAAATGTTCACTGTAATTCCTTTGTGCTTTGTCATTTAATGAAATATTATATTTCACATAACATTCTTCTTCAATAACGATTTGACAAACGTTAACGACAGGCGGTTTTTGGTTGTACTATCATTTTTTGTCAGCATTTGTACATATTCCCCCTGATTTGTTCACTTACCTGAACATAATACTCCGTTTCCATAATAACCTAAGTTACAGCTGCATAAAAATGATCCGTTAGTGTTTACACAAGTGGCGTGTTCATGACAGTTATCGAGGGAGAGAGAACATTCATCAATATCTAACAAATAGAAACATACAAACTTTATCAAAATTCCATATGGGACATCACTATATAACAAAAGCTTTTTTCATTAAAAGCTATTGTCGTCATTTCAGTTTTTTCTAAATTCATTCAACATGTAGAATCTTATAGAGTAAAAAAGCTCGCGTTTTATAAATTGGGTATTGTGCACTGATCATAAGAATTATCACTCACTGCTGTTATTTTGAGATATTTACAAATGTGACTTACCTACGCAACGCAAGCCATTTCCTGTGTAACCTGGTCGACACACGCACATAAAACGTCCAAAGGTGTTAACACAATCGGCATTTTCGCTGCAATATTGATTCTGCTGTGAACATTGATCAACGCCTATAATTGTAAAATATTGAATAAAAGCGCCTTTTTCACCACATTTTCGTGGTTTTTAATAAAATAACATGTTTCAGAGACAATTATTTGCAGAAAAGAATTTTTATGTATTTTTAATAAATACTTACGTGTTAGACATTCAACACCAGCATCTTCATGATGACCACAATTATGATTTTGCCATCCACTGTGCGAGCAACTAGATATATTGGCCTCCGAACCCGTGCAAGCAACATCATCTAACCATATTGTCCCATTACCATCAGGAACAGAACTTCCTTGCAAAGCCTTTGCAGCGCCACTATAACCAAGTTGTCGACATACAACCCTAGCATCTTGCAAATCCCAGTGATCATCACAAATTGTCCCCCATCGTCCATTGTAGAATATTTCAACACGACCAATTCCTTGGTTGCTTCTTGGTCCCTGAAGTCGAATGGACTCGTCTGAAAAAATTGTTCAGCATTCAGTATTCATATGTCAAAATATTCTTCAATGTTTTTTCTAAAGCCGCCACTTATTATCGTTGTAAAATTTTTAGTTAGTATACTATTTACAAATTGGGAAAAAAGTCTTACATGTTAGACGTGTTAGACATTCAACACCAGCGTCTTCACTATGACCACAATTATGATTATCCCATCCTCTGTGCGAGCAATTAGATAAACTAGTTTCAGAACCTGCACAAGCGACATCATCCAACCATATCTTTCCACTACCATCAGGAACAGAACTTCCTTGCAACGCTCTTAGAGCACTACTATAACCAAGTTGACGACATACAACCTTAGCATCTTGCAAATCCCAGTAATCGTCACAAATTGTCCCCCATTGTCCATTGTAGTATATTTCGACACGACCAACTCCTTGGCTGCTTCTTGGTCCTTGAAGTCGAACGGGCTCATCTGAAAAGGATTACATTTATTAAGGCAATTTTTTTAGTAAAAGAGTTGCTAATAAATATACATATTTCACAATTTACTTGATTGTTTTGTGAAATTTGATTTTTTACTTAATCAACAAAGCATTATTGTAAAATGACACAATACTCCTTGTTATCAAAGGATGCGTATAAGACCATTATTATTGTAAGTACTTACAAGTCAAGCATTCTACACCAGCATCTTCATTGTGAGCACAATTGTGATTTTTCCATCCACTATGGGAGCAACTTGATAGTCTAGTTTCTGTACCGTTACAAGCAACGTCATCCAACCATATCGTTCCACTTCCATCTGGAACAAAACCTCCCTGTAAAGCCCTCAAAGTGCCACTATAGCCTAGTTGGCGACATACAACCTTAGCATCTTGTAAATCCCAACTATCATCACAAATTGTCCCCCATTGTCCGTTGTGTAATATTTCGACACGACCAACTCCTTCGCTGCTTCTTGGTCCTTGTAGTCGAACGGGCTCGTCTAGAAAAAATATTTATTTTGCAATATTCTATAAACAACTTATTCATGTCAGTTTTAACGCCATTAAAAAACATCATTGTAAGATTTTGTAATTTAAAAGCTATAAGTGATTACAACTTACTAAAAAAATACTTACATGTTAAACATTCAACACCAGCATCTTCACTATGACCACAATTATGATTTTCCCATCCTCTGTGGGAGCAATTAGATAAACTACCTTCCAAACCAGTACAGGCTACATCATCTAACCATATCTTTCCACTACCGTCGGGGACGGAATTTCCTTGCAAAGCTCTTAGAGCACTGCTGTAACCAAGCTGACGGCATACAACCATAGCATCTTGCAAATCCCAGTGATCATCACAAATTGTCCCCCATTCTCCATTGTAGAATATTTCAACACGACCTGTTCCTTCACTGCTTTGCGGTCCTTGAAGTCGAACGGGCTCGTCTGAAAAAAGTTTTTTTATTTTACAGTATTTAAAAGACATCAAAGACTATCAAAACAACATTTTTACACTTTAAATGCTATAAGTGTTTACAAATACCCCAAAAATACTTACATGTTAAACATTCAACACCAGCATCTTCACTATGAGCACAATTATGATTTTCCCATCCTTTATGCGAGCAGTTAGATAAACTATCTTCCGAACCTACACAAGCTACATCATCCAACCATATCTTTCCACTGCCATCAGGGACTGAGCTTCCTTGCAAGGCTCTTACAGCACTGCTGTAACCAAGCTGACGACATACAACCCTAGCATCTTGCAAATCCCAACTATCGTCACAAATTGTCCCCCATTCTCCATTGTAGAATATTTCAACACGACCAACTCCTTGGCTGCTTCTTGGTCCTTGAAGTCGGACGGGCTTATCTGGCAATGAAGATAACTTCTTACCAGTTATCTGAAACTGTTTCTTTTTAAGTTTACATGTTCTAACCTTTATTTGATAGCTTAATGACATTTTGCTTCTGATTTAAACAACCAAGTGGCTAATATGGTAAAATGACACATATACTCCTCATTATTAATGGTTAGAGATTTTAAATATGCTTTTATCATAGATACTTACTTGCTAGGCATTCTACACCAGCATCTTCATAATGACCGCAATTGTGAGTTTTCCATCCACTATGTGAGCAACTAGATAACTTTGCTTCCGAACCGGTGCAAGCAACATCATCTAACCATATTGTTCCTTTACCATCTGGAACAGAACTTCCCTGTAAAGCTCTTACAGCGCCACTAAAACCAAGTTGACGGCAAACAACCATTGCATCTTTCACATCCCAGTTATCGTCACATATTGTCCCCCATTGTCCATTATAAAATATTTCGACACGACCTACCCCTTCACTGTTTCTTGGTCCTTGAATTCTTACTGAAAAGTGTAATTCAATTGGTACATTTGAAAAGTTTATTGTTATATGAAGTTTAAGTTGAATTTGTACTTTCACTATTCTATTTGGCTGGTTGGCTTCGTGGAACATTTTACTTCATTTTCGCGCTTTTTGCAGCTTTATTTGATGATTTATTTTGAAAAAGTTTTATTACATGCAGGCTTTTGTTAGGAGAAATTTTGCCTAGTTAAAGTTTTATTTTCTGTTGTTATGTTTAAAATATTTGGTCATTTCTGAAATGTTTTGGATAACGTAATTTTCCAACACTGGAAAGAAAAGGGTTTTCTCCTTATTGTTTAGAGAGACACTGGTTTGCAATATTATTTGATAATTTTCAAAGCTAGTGTTTTGGCTCTAAACAGCGAGTTTTATCGCATTCATTCTCTTTTAACATTGAGTTTATAAGTTCAAGCTTTTGTCGAATGAAAACAGTTCAGCTGAACAGTGGCGTGCGGTGACTGAATTTAATAGGCAAGCGCTGACAGTGATTCCACAATGCATTCAGTCATGTTGTACAGGTGTCGTGAAAATACCGAATGTAGAAGTAGAACATAAAAGGATGAAAAATCCTATGCTATATATTTTATAGGAACATCAATCTTATTTATACCTTACATCAGTTACATGATATCTACCGAATACAAATATCAAAACTACTACGCAAAAGGAAGCTCTTGTCAATATCATAATCTTGTATTACATGCTACAGATAATATCTTCTACATACATAAATTGCAAGACAATAGGCGCGAAATGTATTGTAGCAGTCGTGATTATAACAATTAAGAACAGTTTCGCGCACAAAATTGGCACGGTGTGTTACAAACTGAGGCCATGGCGTTGTTTAATGTTTATATTTTGGTATAATGACGTCATGGCAACGTGTTCTCCCGTTCTTCAAAATGTGTCTGGCACTGACTCGTACGTTTCAGAATATCGGAGAGTCGTGTTTATTATTTAGTGTCTTGTACCTTTTATTTTTAGTCATTAATTTACGAATTCAACGACACAAGACTGACAAGAGCATAGTGTTTTGGTCATAATGCTAGTCATACTTTACCACAACACACGTTTGCGTGCATTTCGATATCTCTGCAGACTGCGGCCCCTGCTTGTTTACGCACATTGTGCGCAGAAAATAATAAAATAACCAGTAAAGCACCTACTACTTTGAATTAGAAATCAGAACATTACCTTTCGCTCTCAGTCATCTTTTAATAAACGATAACATTAACGGCGTGAATAATTCGGATGTGCAATGTGTTGAATATACGAATATTATTCGTGCGCTGATATGTGTTTAAAATTGCGAGCGTACAAGACTGTTGACCAATCGCTATCAAGCGGCGCCCTTAGAAGCGCCGCTTGCCTTTTCTCGATATTCCTCGAATAAGAAGCCTCCAAATCTAGATTAACGCATGCGCAAATGTTCAAATTGAGCTCCGAAGGTAAGCGCGCTTGCCTTGGTTAATAAATATTCGGTGTATTTAATCCACTTGACTCATCTTACAAGTGTAGCAAAGTGAAACCGAAAACCACAACAGCAAATCGCGTATAAATAGCAAGCATTTCAACTGTAAAGACAATTTAGACAAAAGATTACATTGACATTGTTTAGAACAGAAAAATTTAAACTGATTTTGCTCAGAGATTGATCCAAAAAATTTTTGTTCGGTAAAATGCTTAGGCAAGCGGCGCTTGCCTACGCTTGCATGACCGCACGCCACTGCAGCTGAATGTTAGTTGATTTCAAAATATTTTCTTGTGGGTGCAATTCTGGTCAAATGAATTTCAAAAGAATTATTGTAGCCAATCGAATTGTTTTTAGCGTATTTTGAACTCCAATATCAGAGTCAGAAATTTGTTACATATTTATTTATGTGTAGACGTACCTGAACCAGAAGATAAAACGTTCCTCTTAACGCGAAATCTATCCATAAGCTTCTCTTGTGTAGAGGAAACTTTGCCCTCATTGATTTTTATTTTGGATTCGCGTTTCCCGTTTTGGCCTGTTGCAAAGTATATCGTGCAATGACTAATTACTGGAAATATTCTTGTTTAGGAAAAGAAGCCCGTTGTGTAAAACTGGATAACGTAAGCTTAGTCATGTGGTGTCTGTTAGTGTGTGGATGTTGAAACTTTTATGGGTGAGTCATTTTGAAAAAAGTTAGAAAATGCATAGTTTGGGAATTTCACTTTCCTAAGTACTTTTTCTGATTAGTTTGGGTGCTGATTGTAGGAAGAAAAATATAGTTGTTTATATTAAAAAAAACACTCACCTAATAAATTTTGCATTTCCCATTTTGTGATTTGATCATTGCTCAGTTTCGTTTCCAATTTCATCTTTTTTGAAGCGATTCCGCTCACTGTATTCAAAAGAAACCAATAAGTTACACGTCTACATTTTTTCTAATCAAACAGAAAAGTGAATTCATAAAACTTACGAGTTGCCAAAATCCAAAACCATGAATACAGGCCGTACATTTTCTGAAGAGACAAATACGATCATCGGAAAACAGTATTATTATTTGTTTAGTATTAGAAATATTTTTTTAGCTTTTAAACATTTTTTAAAACATTTTTCCGCTGCGCCCCATGGCTGTAGCCCAGTTAGCCTCTCTTGACATTTTATAAGAAGTTGAGCCTTTTAGGGCTTTTGGGGTAATTAAACTGTCTGATATCGGGGTTTCAAACCTCACTCGGAAGGTCTTTATCTTTACAGAACTGTTTGATTAAAGCTTAAATTCAAATACAGCTAGCTACAATGCACATAACACATTTTATTTAAAGTAAATGGTTTGAACCGGGAGTATCCTTACATGTTTGTAAACCTAAGATAAACAAGCAAATCAAAACACAAGCTACAATCCACTGAAACTTTCATTAAAAAACTGAGCACTATACAAATACCGGACAACTATATACTGGTGTCTTGATGTGAAATCACTGTTCACCAGTATTCCACTTAATCTGGCACTTACTTGTACAAAAACCCTCATTACAAACACCACGGACGTACTGCCATTACCAACAGAAGACATTATGGAGCTACTGGAGCTCTGCCTCACCTCGACTAACTTCCAGTACAAAGGTACACAATACAAACAATTACATGGAACAGCAATGGGCTCAACCGTTTCTGTTGTAGTTACTGAAATTGTAATACAATCTATAGAGGAACGGGCGCTCACGACTTACAAACATGCACCACCTTTTTGGTTCCGCTACGTAGATGACACAATCACAGCACTACATGCAGACGAGATTGATGACTTTCACACTCACATCAACAAACAGAACAGCCACATACAATTTACCAAAGATTTCGAAGAAAACGAAACTCTTCCTTTTCTCGACTGTTTGGTAAAACAGGACAGTCAAAAACTACGAACAACAGTTTATTGCAAACCAACACACACTGACCGACTACTAGACCAATCATCTTACAACCCTACATCACACAAAGCCACCACAATGATTACATTAACAAGACGTGCTCAAATCATATGTGATTCACCGGACGCTCTCCACAACGAAAACAACTATCTCAAACGTGTTTTTGACAAAAACAACTATAACTCTGACTTCATCAAACGCAACACTTACAAACCCAACGAACCCAACGAAACGAACAACTCAGTGACAAAAGCAACGATACCTTACATCAAAGGTACGTCTGAGAATATCTCGCGTATCTTACGACCATACAACATACGTGTCGCACATAAACCAATCACAACGTTACGACAAGTACTAATGAACATAAAGGACAAAGAACAACCCAACGAACGACAAGGTGCAGTTTACAAAATAAACTGCTCCGACTGCCACGCCTCCTATATCGGGGAAATTGGCAGGAACTTAAACATAAGACTTACTGAACACGAACGAGCGACAAAGAAACAAGACAAAACTAAGCACATTGCCGAACATCACCGAATCACAAAGCCCAACATTGACTGGGACTCTGCAAAATGCATTACAAACAGTACTGACTATAGACAACGACTTACATTAGAAAGTTGGTATACCAACTTGGAACAAACCCCCTTGAACAGATCACAGCAAAACAAACGATCAACTAAAAACATCACACCTAAATTCGTTCACTACTCTCTTCCTGGTTTTTCTTGACGCTGACATAATGGAGTTTTTAAATATCATTTAGGTATTGAAATTTACGCTGAAGGTCCTTGAAGTCTTACAAAAGTCTTTGTTTAAATCATCATTAAACTGATTAAAATATGGTTTTGGATTCGTTAGGTAGTTGAATCCACGTTGTACAGCATTTCTCAGGACGTTGTGTAGTTGCTTCTCGTGGATTTCAAGTTGTTATAGAAGAAAATGATATGAGAGAGAGAGGCAAATAAAAAAAGAAGGACTCCATCATAAGACAATTTGCCAATTGGATCGTGTTAAATACTTTGAGATCAAATGAGCCGTGAAATTCAAACAAGTAGTCATTTTAAATGCCCGCACACAACATTATTTGACTCACAAAGAAAATGTCAAATTTACTTCGTAAATCTGCCTGGTGTATCTTTTAAGACATTCGGGAAAACTCTTTGTCTTTCTTGCAGTTGGAAAAAACTTGTGTTCAATTGCTATGCAGCAAATCCGGGTAACGCAGAATATATTATAATTACAAATTTATCATTTAACATAGCTTTGATAAAATAGAGTATTGGCATCGAATTGTAAAACAATAAAATCTAACTAGTCAATCATCTTTGCTTTTCTTTTAAGTTATAAACCCGCAACTATTCTGTAGTTGTTCCATTTATTAACAATAACGAAACAATTCACTTTTTGAATAACATAGAAAGCTTTAATTTGCCGCAAGCTGGACTTTGTTGAGCATTTTTACGCTCTTCTTGTGTTGCAGAAATATGTGCTAAAACAATGATTTTTTCTGTAATTTATGCTGCATTTGTCAAATCACATTTTATGCCTGAAACTTTTTGTATTCGTAAACTTAAATTGATTTTGACAATCAACATTCCAGCTACTTAAAACAATCCATTGCGATTCAAGTAGTTAGGTTTATCTTTTTGTAATGAAAACAATTGAGCAGCTCTCGTTACAAGACTGCTAAACACGCACGCAACCCTGCTTTTTTCAGGCGGTAACTATCGAAATTTTAATTGTAGTCAAGAGGTAGCTATGTGGCTTAAGTCAAGATTAAGGTTATTGCGTTCTATGAAAGACTCCTCTTCCTTTGGTTGTATTAAACATAAAGTCAGTCATTATTTCAATGACTTGTCTTTCGCTTTCGTTTTCATCCTACTGCTTACAATGTTGCATTTATGTGGTTTCGGAAAAAAGTTCATATTTGTTTTACAGAGGTCAGCGAAAAGCTTTCGAAAATAGACGCAAAATCTTGAATACAAAAAGAATTAGTTGGAAAAATTTGTGATTGTGCTTAGATATTTCAAGTACAAAAGTTTCTGTATACATCTGGAATCGGAGCAGTTTTGTTTTGCGACAATGTTATCGACGATTCATAAAGGCGTGAAATTCATGAAAAGCGTGGTACTAAACATCTTCAAACTTATCTCGGATAAGATTTATCAATCGGAATTAACAATTAACTAGAAGCTTACCTTTGAAGCATATAGCTACAAGTTTGCTAGTGCCTCGCCGCGCCTTCTTTCTTGCACTGCGTATAAACTTGAATGAATAGCAATTATGATCGGGGCTACCTTATCAATGAACTCTTTCATTCTCTTCGTAATGTATTCATTAAATAATGGAACTATGTATGTGCGTCATGATTAGCTATTTGAAAACACGGAACTTGATGTTTTTGACTTGAACTTATGTGTACACAACGTTTTCGAGATGTCAAATGAAAAATATCTATCATCCCAAGCATGTTGAGCAAATAACATCGTTTTATTTTGAAAAAGATAATTCTTTATTGTGATTTTTCATTTGCCACGTCATGTGTAAAAGTGCTATATAGGAAACGTCATAGAGTCGGACGATTATTGACACCAACACACAGAAATTGGATTCAACGTAATTATTGTCAGAGTTACGCACGGTTTTTTTGTGTTTTCTTTACATAGAAAATCATGCCAATGTTTAATGATGCTTTCAGTTTTAATTTTTCTAATTGTATTGTTTTACGTATTAGCATGAAAATTACATAATTGGACAAAATAATTATCTCGTGTAAAAGTAGCTCCACATATATTTATGTCTATAGAATTAAGATAGCTATGTTAATAATATCAAAACGATCTGCCCTTAAATTGTATGTTGCATTCAGACTCGATTGCATTTTATGAAATAGAGAGGCAAACGCGATTCAAATGCTTGATCAATTGACGCTCTATTCGTTAAAGGAAACGGATATTACATCTGAAGAGGAAACACCTACAGGCTAGTATATTTGTATTTTGATAAATCTCGCTTAAGTATAATCTAAAGGAATACATATTGCAAACTCAAATTTTATGCCTCTAGAATCTTGAAGAAGAAAGAAATTTTGATTCGTTAAATGAAAGCAAAGCAACGAAGACAAATTCATCGAATATAGGCCCGAATTTTACTTATACTCGATTGCATGACTTTACATTCTGATAATTTTAACTTCAGCGTAATTGGCAATGACAAACAATAGACACCCTTCTCTTTGTTCTTTTATCTCAAGTTGATGCTTTTAATTGGTTTGGCTAACTACATAGCTCGTTTAAAAAAAGAAAGAATATTTTAAACGAAAAAGGGGCTGTCAATTTGTGTTCGAGTACCACGAATCGTTTGCAACTTTTCCATTTAAATATAAAGTAAGTAGTCAATGTTTTGCTTCAAGTTCATTTTGGTTAAAGCCCTTGAAATATTTAGGTTAGGACCGATAAAATAACTTTATAAGAGTAAGGGTTCGATAACTGTTGGTCCTTGGTCATTGAGGGAAATATTGGTAAAATAAGGTTTTATTAAATAAACCACACGTACAAAGTGAAGATTTAATAAATTCGTGCGAACATCACAAATCATCGACTTAATTCAAACATTATAGAGATATATGTGCTGGGAGTTCTAATCGATGCACTAATATAGCTACTATGTATTGAAATTTAGTTGTTCAAGTTATGAAAGTTAGTAGTTATTCATTTTATCGATTTTTATCAATGCACGAGATTGACATTTTTAGTGTTACACATAAATAATTGAAACTCTTTTGCTTGCTAATGATTTTAGTCTTTTTGTTAACATGCCAAATTCAAAAAATTAATAGGCACTTTCATTCGCAAACAATTAAAAATCGAGCTTCAAAGCCGCATACGGCTTCTTTTACGCAGAAAATATTCAAACAAAGAAGAATTTATAGCTATAAATTGTTGCAATTATATTGAAAAATACCCTTCTAAAAAAAACATACATTCTTAGCTACAATTTTGTGCCTGTCATTTCCAGGCATTAATCAACATGAGACGTAAATCCAAGTGGTTTTATATTTGAATGGTTGCGGCGAATGTTGAAACATATTCAAAAGTTTTAAGGTGAAGTTGAAGTTGCCAAAGTCGAAAATTGCTTCAATTGTCGGCCTGTTAAGAACTTAAAATTTGGTATTTCAGATGTAGACAAAGAGTCTTTCTTGCATGCTGAATGATGCTGAAGGGCTTTATCTGCTTGAAATATACGCTTCTTTAGAAAACCTAGATTAATGCATCACTCCAAGTCTCCAAATGTGCTAACAGCGAAGTAGCGAAACAAATATTTCTAAAATAATTCAATGGAAATTACTTTTAGAACTTTTTTGACATTCATTTCCATCAGAGTTAATGCAAATTTTTCTTGTTTATACTTGACACGTTTTCACTTTCAATGATATAATTTCTTGGTATTAAAATATTCCTTACTAAATTAACAATTACAGAGATAATTAGCGCTTATTTTAGTTTCTATTAGTGTCATCCGTTAACAATAAAGTACTCCCTCCTTTGCTTATCAATAAAATCATCTGCGTCCATTCAAAACCCCACAAATATTCGTTCGATTTGCATTGCAGAGCTTGCGTCTTGAAGCAAAGAACACAAGCTCAAAACTAGCGAAGCATCAATTTTAGGAACGCATGAAGGCTAAGGTAAGATTGAAATGTTTATCTTGACTCAAATCATGTGTTGCCTTTTTCGACTAAAAGCAGTGCTATGTATCTCAATCCATATTGTGTTTGACTCATATTTTTACATGAGAAAAACGATACATTGGTTTTGAAAAGACGGAAGATTTATTTGTATTTTTTTAATTTTTGTTTTATTTCCAAATGCTTGGTCAAGGTGATTTAACTCAGCCAATTCAATTCGTTAACAAATTTTGATGACAGGCAACATTTATATGCTTTACATATATTTGTGTCTAAGACAAAACTTTCTCCATTTATTTAAAGTTAATTGCGATTGGTTTTTAAATGAATTGAAATTTATATACATAAAATACATACAAGCTATTCTTCAAAACAGGAACAACAATTTTTGGATTAACAATGACTATTTAAAGCATACTAACCATTTGCAAGAGCCTATGGAAGAGCTGAAAAACACGTTATGCAACCGGCGTTGGTCACTAACACCGTGGCAGTCTAAATATTCAAATCAGAGAGAAGACTGAAATCATTTCTGAAAAGATGGTTGCCCTTTGCTCATAAGTAAGCTGGTTGTGGGTATACTAACTGACAGACAAAGATTTCTTTACCAAATTGTTCAGGGACTGAAAAATTCCATTCATATGAGATGCAGTGAGAACATTGTTAATGCATTCAAATTTAGTTAAATATTTGATAAGTTCTCTCTTTAGGCAGACTTTCCAATGTCATCAACACAGGAATTCTTTTTAACACGCTTGATCAAACTGGCAGTACATTTCATGAGGGTCCGTAGTCATGTTACTAACAAAAACGACAATGTCAGGACTTTTATTATCCGCAAAGACAATCCGCCTTCTACCGAAACACGATGGCTAAGACTACATCTCATTGCCGTTGTCTCTTCAAAGAACAGTGGCGTCACCAGGATTTTGCGATTTGGGGGCACAAGAATTGCAGAATGTTAATGAACCTTTGTCTTAGTTAGTGCTATTTGTTTATTCTTGTTTCGTCAAGCTTGAGTCTGTGAGTACACTTGTCCACTCTCTCATACAAGTTCTATGATATCGTGTAATGTGGTTCATGACAAGCATCACAATATCACTTGTTCTTCCTTGCCCACTTGAATTATTCTAGAAGTATTCTTTTTGCATTTTCATACAATTAAAATCTTTACCACTCGGCTGACAACGCAGAAAGCGTAAATGCAACGCAAACTAGTTGGCACAGCTAATAGAATACTTCAATTTCTAAAATTCAAATGGGGAGGAGGCTCTTGTGGGGGGGTGGGGGCACAACAAGTTTTTTGGGGGGCACGTGCACCCTCCCAGCCCCTTAGCGACGCCACTGTCAAAGAAACTGACGAAACTTTTGATCTCTGCCATCTAATTTTTTCAAACATTGTCGAGATATCCCTGTAGAATACGTTCCTCTCTTCACGATTCCTAACATGGAAATAAGGAGTTTGTGACTTCTATCCCTTTTCCAACACATCATGAAGACCGAACCCTTGAAATGGGCCGGGACGCCGAATGAAATACCGTGCACTTTGAGCTTAGTAGATGCTTTGTCCAGTCTTTCGATGATGTTGTTGTTAGGATACCACGCTTTTCCATTTTTAGCTTGTGCTGGTTCTTTTGTACCTAAAATACGGATTATTGATTTCTTGGTTACAATTTGTTAACTTCCCATTCTTGAATACTGCTTTTCTCGTTTTTGTATCGAAACAAATGCTTGGTTTGAATTGTTTGATAATTCCATAATTCTGGCTTATCATAAAAGTTTAAGTTTTCCTGTCCTTCTGATATTTTTGTCTTAGAAATGACCATTTAAATTTATTGTTAATTTCAAAACATGAATTCAAGCTGTGCCATAATTTTGCACGAATTTCTGCAGATTATAGAAACAACAAAAGTCAACACTTGTCAGTTGCCATCTTGTTCCTTCGTCTTATGATATTGATCTGCGTTGTTTTGTTTGCCAAGATATTCCAACTTCGTTAAACAATTTATCGCGCTGTTTCAAAGAAGTTATTTTAAAATTTAAAGTTTTATTACTTTTTTGGGTAACTATGTAATGCTTTCAAACACTTCGTGGCCTCATTAATCAATTGATACCATTGAAGTATAAAGATACATGAGTTTTGTGTTTGCAACTTAAAAAGTTGGTGTCCTGTTATACATGGATAACAAAAACCAAAGCCTTTCGCCCTTATGAACTCTTAACCCGCCGAAGAGATTAATTGAACAACCTGTTCAGAAGTATAGGAAGGGAGCACAATCGCATGAGTACATACTCTTTATTTGTGGCATGAATTTTACCCAATTAATTCCTGAGCAGTGTGGAGATAGATTGTAAATTTGTCTATAATTTGCTACGTTATTCCTCTTTGTTGGACGACTTATAGTATTGTTAAAATGAAGCTATTATTTGATGTTTTCAAGTCTTACATTTTTTCATTTATTCATAACATTAAATGCTCAAGATGTACGAGTTACTATTCTGAGAAAGTAAAAAATTGGTGTGCTGTTACACGGGATGATAAATTCCAACTCTTTTCCTCTAATATCACTTCACAATCGACTAGTGGCTATTTGCAGAATGCTGTTCAACAAATTTGCTTCATCTTCAACATCGTTTTTACACTCCTATAAGCTTTGCATTAGCGAGTGAAGTCTACACATCGAATTTGTTTATTGCGAACGCTCTTATTGTAATTCAAAGTTTTTAAACAATAAACGTTAAAAGAAATATTCTAATTTTTTCATTCATTTTTAATTTCAGATGAATCGTGCTGTCGTTTGGTTTTTTTACATCTTGGCAATATGTAAGTTGGCGCAGCATTCCCTTGACTTTAACATGTTGAGCCGTCATTTAATAAGAAATCATTTTAGGTAACAGAATTGACGGGGAAATCTTGAAATGGGAAAATAAGTTTGATGTGATTGAATCATGGGAAGCTGCAAATTTGATAAGTAGGTAGTTTTATTGTTTTAGTTAGAAATGAAGTTAAAGTAAAAATTACAACTAGGATGGCACTTCTTAAAAATATTTTTTAACATCATACTTTTTTTTATTCAAAAATGTAATAGCTATGATTATTTTTGCCGCAAACATGAAACACGAAAAATAAGTTATTATCATTTCATTTCACGTGGATTTTTCTATGCAGTCCTTTTTTATATCAAACTGTAGCATCTTCCCTCTGAAAATGATCAATTTTTTGCCTGCAAACTTTTCCTTTCTTTATTTTTGCCATTGATTATACTGTTTTCTTTCTAGAACAAAACGCAAAAGACCAAACAAAACTTGAGTCGAACGTTATTGAGTTTGCTGCATTACGTGAACAGCCCGTGAAGGAGATACGTGAAAAAAGAGACGCTTACGGCTCAAGTGGTTCAGGTATGTTGTTTTTACATTAATTAGCTAATCGAAAGATTGCTTAGGTGTAGATGGTGAAGGTGCCTCCATGTTTGACGTCAAGGCTCTTAACATGCAGATATGGTCAATTTGGATAATTTATTTGTTTAATATAGCTAACTTAAATGTCAACAAAACGAGAGCTTAGAAAACGATGAATTTAATTTTCAATTCTTTTCTAAATGCACTCTCTTTTTGCATATATTTCGTTATCCACGTTAATTAATATGCACATGTAACGAGAATGTATTATGAAGCCATGCCCACATACAAAATTTTTCACCACTTTTTGGAAAAAGCAAACAGTGAAGCCTTTTTGAGTCCTATGTATTCATCAATATGTATATTTTCATCAAGGTTGTATCACGAAAGTAACAATTAGAAAATTAGTAAAATTAGATAGTTTCGGTATAGTTACAAGTTAGTTGGATGAAGTTTTTTTTCATTGAACAGCATTAAGCTAATCTGAACTATTATACTAGTGACAAATCCTTCACATTTCTAAAAAATCTAAAAAAATCTTTTACTTCCTAAACAAAAGGTGAGAACATGTGTAAAAGGCTAATAGATCTCGGTTTTATATTGGATGGTTCCGGTATCTCTGGGTTGAGCAACTTCCGTAAAATACTTAACTTCGTAAAAAATCTTCTCGATTACTTTATGATCTCTGCTGACAAAACGCGCTTTTCCGTGATATCTTATGCCTCATCACCGACGCTAAAAATCAGATTCTCGGAAACGTTTGCCACCAAACAAGACCGTGATTCGGCCATCGACGCCATATCATATCCCGGGGGCGGAACTAACACAGGCGGCGCTTTGGACTTAGCTTACAACAGCATGTTCCGAACAAGTAACGGGGCTCGGAGTACCTCAGGTATTTAGTTTCTAAACAAGCTCGTCAACTCTTCATTGATAAAGTGCCATGTTAATGCAAGATCTGGTTTTTCTAAAATACGTATAATCTTCATTCAATTTATTATTTTTTTTATTTTCTCAGCAAAAGACTAAATGATCCAAAAGCAAAAAATAATTTCGTGGTATAAACTCGCTTTTTTCCCTCTCTTCTTTTAGATGTTACTAAAGTGCTGATAGTACTCACAGACGGACAAAGTCTCGACGCTGTTGAGCAGCCAGCACAGAGACTAAAGAACGACAAAGTAATCATATACTCCATTGGAGTGGGCGCTGGGGTTTCAAATACTCAGCTTAATAAGACCGCGTCACTTCCATCAAATGAGCACGTGTTTTTGTTGAATAATTTTGAAGTCCTCGGCTCGTTTGCAAGTGGAATGTCAACCACTATTTGTAAAGGTATTATACGACGAGTAAAAGTGTAATAGTGTGATTTATTTTACTGTTTTCTTGCATGAATTATTTTTCTAAACTGTTTCAAATTTTAACAGTGCATTTTTATGTTCACAACACGAGAATAGTATTTAAAATTGTTTTGTTGTTTGTTCCGTAGAACATTAAGTGGAATTTAATAAATTTTCTATTATTCAAACAGTAAAACCTCCATACTTAATAGAAAAAGCGGCGATTGGGGAGATTTACAGTTTGTCCTGTCAACAAAATTTCTAGCCAATCAGCAAACAATATTTGGACATTTTACGTTGTATCTAATTTTACAATTGCTACTCTGAAATTTTCCGAACACGTCACAATTGTGTTTTCTAGCACAATCATATTATCTTATGTGTGGATCCGATGGCATAACTTTAGTAATTGGTGTACACTCATTGGGGAATCTTGACATGAATAATGCACACCTCCTTGACACAAGCTGCAAGGCCAGCCACAATCAAACCCATTTGTTCATCTCTACGATACAAAATCAATGTGGGACAATCTATACTCAGACCCAACAAGAGATAATTTATTCCAACAAATTGACCATAAGAAGAAAATCCACCAGCTCGATCATCACCAGAGAAAAAGAGATCAGTATTCACTTCCACTGCACCTACAGCCGTACGGTCAACATTAGTGGTGTTACGTTTGAGCCACCAAACCCTGTGATTGAAGTCACAAAGGGTAAGAATGTTGTATTGAGACAAGCAAGCCAAATAGACAAAGATACTGTGTTTGTTTCTTGAAAGACCTGCTATTTGTGATTGTGTAAAATATTGAAGATTGCTGTTTCTCCTAAAAGTCTACTTACGTGTTTCATGATGTAAAAGGAGTTGTCTGCTTGAAGAACATGAAATATGGAATAACATTTCGCCAACCATAAGCAGACCATTTCTCACAATTTGTATTGCCACGTCATATCTACAAACTCGACAAAACCAAAAAAGGCGTGCATGCTCGTGTGCATTGATGAGGCTAGGTGCATCGTTAATTCAGAAATCAAAATCTAGAAAAACAATATTCGTTGCTTTTTCATTGCATGAAAACAAAGTATTTATTCGTTATGAGTGACATTCAGAACATACAATAACCAAGTTTTTAGCAGTAAGGTTTTCATCAAAACATCTGACAACAGAAACAATTAAAAACAAATCAGTTTAAATAAAACTAGACAAAATTATATCATAAAATTTTATGAACTCAATTTTATTAGCAATAAGTCGCATAAGTTTTGCTGAAGGGCATAAGAGCCTACGTTAAAATGAGTCCATTTCATTATAAAATTTATTTTACAGGTAGTCTTGGAAACTTTACGATTGAGCTTGGCTCATTTGCGAACAATCAATTTTCCTCGTCAACAAGTGAGAATTATCCCGCTTTCAAGAGTTTTGATGATTATATCAACATACAGTACAAAGTGAAGACAGCCAACCTTGACATTGTTATTCGAGCCCAGTCATGTCACGCTACACCAACAAACAAAGCTTACGATACGCCACAATATCCAATCATCACCGACTTGTGAGTTCTGACGTCTAAATGTTGACATAAATTTCTCCAAAATCACATGTTTTTAAACCCTTTTCTCCAGCAAACATCTAAAGTACTTTAACCTTTCAAACAAATCTTTAGCTAAAAGTAATTAAAAACCAGTTTATTTGCTTATTAATTAAATTCGGTAATATTTTGGCTTTTATACCAATAATTGTCTCTGCTGTCGACTTTTAGCTACACACTTTGACCCGAGAAAAAATAACAGACAAAAAAGTTTCAAAGTAAACACAAGCTATTGTATTAATAGTTTCGAGCAACACTTATCCGTTATCCTCGTGCACCAGTTTGTCTTTTTTATTCGATTAAACTTTGTGTTTCCAGTTGCGACAAAGACTCGACAATCACTCATCTCACATCTGGATTGCAACAGACTCATCAATTCCGCATGAAAGTTTTTCGATTTCTGGCTGATCATACGTTAGTCTACATTCACTGCACACTGCGATTGTGTAACAGAAATACACAGAACTCAGTGTGTACACGAAGTACCACGTGCCCTATCAGAGCACGTCGTGACGCTGCCTCACCAGATGCCCCAGATGATGGCTATGCGGTTTCTTTTGGTCCATTTATGCAAAAACAGGCACCAAAAAACGGTACAAATGGCGACGAAACCAATCTTACAAAAAATAAATCAGGTTAGTTCTTACAAGAAAAACTAACATGTGACAAATAGTTTTTTAGTAAATGAATACAACTGACTACATACTGAGTCACGATAATCATTTCAAAAAACATTTGAAATTATTCGCACAGCAGTTAAGCAAGTTTGTTTGGCCTTTGCGTGCACAACGTAATGAAAAATTCTGCTCGTTCAAACAAAATCTATTCGCTAGAAACTATAATTTCATACCTCAAACTTTTTTTTTACTTTTTTCAAACTATTTTATAGGTCAAAGCAAATCGTCCAGTTCAAAAATGATGATTTTGTTCGTGATGATTGTTATGGCGTTGTCTACTTACCATACGTTCTTCGTAGGATGGTATCGGGCGTAATTATGTCTTACTGGTATGAGTAACAGATATTCTTTCACAGACATGGACACTGCTTGTAAAAGAAGTTATAGTTTATCAATTGCACAAAAACATTTCGTACCTAGAAGTACTATTCAAACACAGTACCAGCTACTATAAATTACAAAAGCTCGTCTTTTGGTAAGATTTAGTTCTTTAGAAATTCTTATCCAATTAGAAAGTATAATTAACATACTTTTCTCTACCCTGAATGTGCTACTGTACATAAACAAAGATAATCTTTACATTGTCTTCATACTTGTCCTAAAAACGTTTCTAGCCGAAAATTTGAATAAATCAATGTTAAAACACACTCCAAAAAACATCGTCTTGTTGATTCAAAAATCGTTTCACTGTTGCAGTCAACAATTTTCAGGAACATTAGAAATAGATAGCACAAAAATTGGGTAAATTTATTGTTTTTTCTTGATTTCTGCTCGTGAGCAAAGCAGCAGACCTAAGCAAATGCCGATCTAATACAGATCTAACAGCAGACTGAACTTAATAAGAAGGTAAAATTTTGATTTTTTTTCCTTATACGAAAATGCATTTCGGTCTAGCCCTGCACCGGCAGATATAAAACGTTCTTAAGTAGATGCGGTGGAAGTTAATTTGGTTCATGATTTATATTCAATGCTAAAAGTTGCTGTGCTTTTTGCACGTATTATCAGCTAACTATTTAGCTGACTGGAGTTAACTCAAAAAACAGCTAAAGATGTTACATTATCATACTTATTGCAGAACTTTTGCAAAACCAACTGTTATTAAAGATATAGTATTTATTTGAAAAATGGTTTTCATTCAAATGGCAAGTAACGTATGTTTAAAGTTTCCCAGATTTTTGAGGAGGTCGCTACTATTTTGGTTTTTTTTAAATCCTCTTTTGCTCAATGCAAAAACACAAAACACATATAATGTGATTTAGGCGAGAGCTTACGGACAGTAAACATAAAGAAAACTGCATGTTGAGCTTATTGACTAAATTTTCAATCACAGATGTTCTGTTTAAATTATTGCGCTGATACGTTATTTGATACGTTACTCTTATTGACTTCCAAGAAACTAATCATATGTAATGAACCAAAAGGACAACTGTGGAAAAGTAATATGTTGATGGTGTGATGAAGTCTTAAATTATGATAATACGAAATATCATTGTTGACCAAACATGAAAGTCCGGCAACATTATTTAAAGAGATCTCAGAGAGGTGTTAAATTTGTCTCAATTTTAACAAGGTCCCAGTCCAAATTTCTTATCTAGGAGAAGCACCCCTTTGTCATATGAGCCATATACCTGCTGTTTTCTTCCCCTTGCCGGATAAGGGGATTTAGCACAGCATGCAAGGCCATAGCAAGCTTTAATTTAAGGAGGTGGCTTTTTAAATGAAAATAACACGCTATTTTCATCCCCTTGACCCCTTTATTAATTCATTTAATACATACATCAATAAAATACGGCCATGAAAATATGCTTACACAATACCGGATTCGCTCATCACGACATCTTCATTTGTTTTAAAGGGTTAATTGTTAAAAGCTTATTAAGCTGATAGATTTAGTCTATTTGGTTGTGTTTCTGAAGTTGAACAATTTCACTGCCTTTTAATACAAAGAATATTTAACCTGCTACGATAGCAATCCAGTATAGTGTAAACGGGGCCGTAATGGTACACAAAGCTAAGATTTGTCTTTCTGACTTTGCAGAAATTGCAATTTTCAAAATTTACAAGACTGTTACAATGTACTCTTCGTTTCTCCAATTTTTTTGTTTAAGCTGTTTCTTTTGAAACACAATGCGTGTTGTTTGTTTTTCATCTCTGATTTAAGCACTCACCTAGTTTTTTTAAGCTTTCAAAAAAGGGTTCTTTTCTTGAATCATTTAAATATTCCACGATTCGTTTGAAGAGCTATTTATTCTCTCAACAGAAGAAAGATAGAAAATAAAAAAGCCGGCAACTCTCTCTTCTTTCAATGGTTCAAAATAATTTCAACGTCAATCTCAACCAAGATCCTAACCATATAAATTAAAACCACATTGTATGAAACACATTCAAAAACCATCAACATACCATCAACATCACGTTAGAATTTCAAAGAGGTATGTTGTGATAGCTAAAAGCACGATCTCGTATTCTATGTAGTGACACATCTGTCTGCATGTTGCTTGTTTCCAAGATTACACATGTATGCACTATGAAAGCCTTATATGAGTCGCGTACTTTTTTATAAAACGCTATCGCGGACTGCTGCTACTCGTAGGGGAAATCTCCATACAGTAGAAGGATCTAGTGGTTTGTAGGTGGTAGGGGAAACCTTCGGGGAAAACGGTAAAATGTAGGGGATTGTAGGGAGAAAAGAAAATCGTTTAAAAATGAGCCTCATTTTTTCCCAAATACTCTTTTCTTCCTGTGTTCTCACCATTTAGCAAGTGATTGTAACAGAATCTTTCTTTTGCACATTTTGTGACCATATATGGCAATAGAAGATCAGCAACTTATCATAAACTCAGTGCGTCATTTGCGCCACTTGAATGTCATTACTTCCTACGCCAAATTATTAACTTTGTCGTCTAGATGTTCTTATTTTTCAATAAATCTTTTTTTAAATGCATTTTTATAACACACACTAAAAAATTCAATGGTCCGACCGGACGTAAGTATGTAATAGGGGAATATGTTGCTGTGTAAGGGAAAAGTAGGGAAAAACAAGGAAAATCATCGTAGGGGGAAGTAGGCGGAAAATAAAGTTTTAAAGTAAATGGTTTGAACCAAGGAGTATCAGAGTCATTTGACTCTGAAGATGACTGCCGCTAAGATTGTCGAAACGTCAGTCAACAACAACAAAAACAGTCCTTCTCAGGACTATACCAACCTGGACGATCTACATTTACAAATATGTAAATAAAGTTTTGGTAGGTGAAATGTGCATACACAGAGTGGCAGCACTGATTTTGTTTACAACAAAACATAGGCAAAAATTTCAAACAGAAGTTCTACGAAAATGTTCTACTTTCATGTGATTTAAATTCAAATTTAAGGTACAGTTGTATAATGATTTTAATCGTACAAGCAAAGCGTACACTTTCATTGTAGCAACGAAAAGGCGTTTACCTTTAAATATTATGCTGAAAACGCGGTTGACTTCAAAAAATTCAACAACTTCAGTGCTAATTTTTTTTAATTAGAAATGGGTCAGTCGACCTCCAATGCTTTAAAAGTATTCCGGACCCCGGCTGTCCTTTTTTTTCAAAACAAATAAAACATGGTATTAAATACAAGCATTTGCAAGTTATTTAAATGTGACTAAGTTATAGGGTTGTTTTGATTTTGAGATTGTTACATCAGTAGGTATATGTAAAGGATTAACATACATTTCATTGGTTCGTTGTAATTTTTTAATGTTATAGGTAAAATATACGAAGGAAAGTTTTTAGTCACAAAAACTCTTGAACTCACTATTCTAATCTATATTGTGTATTTGTATATTAAGAATCTTAATATATGGCAATACCTCGTTGAATTGAGACATAAAATGTGAGCTAAGTGCGATGATAACTTTGATGCGTTGCTTTTCCCAACTTTTACTTATTGTCAACACAGGGAACATTTTATAATTCTATCGATTACTCCTTGTTAATGTGATATTTGAATGCATTCTTCTTTTGAGGATTGTCATAAGCTATAATAACTACTTTGCAATTAGGAACCTCAACGGTTCTGGGTAGGCCTTTATCTGGTTCAGTTTTCGTAATGCAAATATTGTTGTCGTGTGAAATGTATGAGCACTTTTTGTTTTCCAAAATCTTTTCTTGCCTTATTATTACCTACCATAAGATTAACTAGCTCTGTAATTTTAAACACAATCATTATGTACCTGTAGGTAATTTGTGTGGTAAATGTGACTGCTTGACTTTTAGTCCTGTAACTTTATAGACAAATACAATGTTGCCTACTGGAAAATAAAAAACTCAGCAAAAAGCACTGTAAGGTCAACAAAAAGTGTCGAGGACAACCTGGGCAACCCCGGAAGCTTGCAATTCTTTTCATTTATTTAAATAAATTCTTACCATCTTCAAAATAACAGATGAATTTAAAACTTTGATTTTTACACAGTTGCTCAAAGTTTAACTAACTATTCTCTTCTCACATAATTCTTGTTATGTGCAGTACTATTGCATTGCGACTCAGAAAAGTTATCGAAACAGTTGTGTCACAATGTGCTTGGTCTCTAAAAGTGAGTTTTTTTAATCGTGAGGAAATATTAAGACTAAAAAAATTTTGATTTGTTTGAGTGGATACTTGTATGAATTGCACTGTTTACTGTTGTATTACAATGCATGGTTATGCCTTTTTATATGAGAGAAGTTATCTTTAATTTCATACGAAGAATGTACTGAACTGCACATTTAAGTTTTCTTTATTTCTAAACTTGCTCCGCAAGTTGTTGTAATAAGTCAGTTTCTATCTTGTTCCTAAGCTTTACAAATGTGTTGTTTATGATATATTTGCAATGTATTAAAAGCATCGTGGCTCTTATCTAACCAATCCAGGTGATTATTTTTCTGAAGTGAGTTCATCGTGATAAGATATGAAGCATTTATGTTTTGAAATAATTAATATGTAATGAATTTATTTTAGAGGTCAGCATCACTTGTGTGTGCACTCAAAACACACATTTGCATGTTATCATTTCTCCTCTTTATCAACGTGCAAAGTTGCGAGTTATTAAAGCAAATGTTTTCACAATTTGCGACAGTGTCATTGGAGCACTTCAGCATGATTTTCTAACAAACCGATCAGTCATGACCACGCGGGTAGCAACATGCCAAATCAAAACCCGCCAAACCTACCACTCATCAATCCCATTGACTTGCAGCACGCCTTTGGCTTACTATTGTAAAATATATTCAATGAATATATCAATGATTTAGAACAAAATCTTCTAATTGTCTAATTACCGTGTCATGGTGATGCAAGGACGCCATCTTAAAAGGTGACAAAAGCAAACTCAGATTGAAAAATACGTTAAAACAAAGTTTTAAAAACCATCCTATCATACATTTTAAGAATCAAACCTAGACTATCAATTTTGCGACTCTATATCTATCTCAACAAAAGCAGATATTAGTCGTAAATGTCGTCAGTTTTGCCACCTTTCAAGATGGCATGCCGCGGATATTTATATTATACTGGATAACGCATCTCTAGTGAAAATTGAAGCCGGAAGTTCGATCATTTGCTACTGGCTTCATGGGGGGTATCGGTCCCATTTTTACTATACTTTTGCCTTACAAAAGCACAGTTTTTGCGTTTTTATTCCTTTT